CTTAACAGAAGGAAAACTTCTGATATTTTAAAACGGTTTTATTTGACGGGACATTTTACAGAGCAAAATTCTAATGGTAAAAAGAAAACTCATCTTGGTGGACTTTTGCACGTTGATGCCTCTTTCCGTATGAAGCCGTATTGGGCAGGGGGCGGGAACTACTTTCCGACTGGGGGGGCACACCATAATAGAGATTAACCTAGGGTACCCCCAAATCTAGTTTTCTCACCGGTTTTAGGCCACTTTTTTCACCCCTCGGCTTTTTCAACAAAAAAAGAAACATTTGCAAAAAAAGTGTGGTATTCCGTCTCAAAGCTGTGGGGGCACCGCCCCCACGGCCCCAGAGTTAGGGGGGCAAGCTACCCCCACTGCCCCCCCCCCGGCTCCCGCGCCTATGGTATTGGGTCTGACGAAACTTAGACGCTAACCCATCTAACTAATTCCTCATACCCGACCTTAGTTCACATTTCACTCTGCTATGCCGTAAGCTGTCACATCCGATGCTGACCTTTGTTGACACTTGCCCTCGACCGGTACCTGCTGACGTAGTTTGACAGCTGCTCGCAGCAGGTGGTGTTCGGATCATGGCCTGGTCCGGTCTGTCTGTAACCTGGCAACGATCGACTGTCCTGTCCCCCGATCACCCTGGACAAACCTGCATCCACCGGCGACCACCCGAATTCCTGCAAACAAACAACAGCCGTAGGCGGGCGATTACATTCACGTTTAGGCATAAAGGCGCCACACTCATCAGTATCCATCACCTTCACGACATAATTTGCCATTGCAGTCCTAGTTGGGGCAATGGGCAGTGTTGCGCTGAGGTACTAAGGCGAGGCTCTGCGTTCCGCGCACACATTACTTACGGCGGCGACGGCATACGTACGTACGAAAGTTCGAGGTCATTACAGACGCTCGGGCAATATTTGCCGACGTGCAGTTATGCCATGATACAAACGGATGGTGACGATGAGGATTGATCGTCGGCCTGTGCAGGGTCGATGGACAGGTGTGGACGTTGTCGGCGCTACCTGTGTCCGATAATAACTAATCCTGATAAAAATCCTGTCATCACTGGTGTCAGTGTTAGTGAAAACACACCGACTATCATGCCCCTTGCACGTGTCCCTGTCACCGCAGAGACAACGGACTGCAGCAGGCGTACCGGCCGCCGCCGAGCCGATCGGCCGACCCGCTCCGGAGCCAGGTGCGGGTGGAGCAGAACCCGACCATCAGAGTGACACCTAGCGGCGGCGGCGCGAACTCGCAGTACCGTCCCCCACCGCCGGCGGAGAGTCCGCAGCGGGTGCCGGCGGAGCGACTGGTGACCGGAGCTGGGGGCACCACTGCCGGCCGGCCGCAGGTCACACCGAGTAACCCGCCGCAGGCACAGGGCGCCGGACAGAGTATCGTGGGCGCCCGCCAGCCGGAGGTCACCTACTCCCGATCAGCGCCGCGCCGCACCTCGGTAGGCGAACGGCCGCATGCAGCAGTCCTTCAATAGTTGCCTGTGACCTATTTTCGTGTGCATTTTAATAATGAGGCATTACGTCGTTCGTAAAGACATAGCTCCAGCGGCCCTAACGGGGTGCTAAGTTGATTGAAGTTTTAAACCGGGCCATTTGCAGTCGATTCTTTCCACGCGAAGAAGCGCATCCCCGATGGGACGCGATCCTTAGGTAGAGGTAGAGGTAGAGGGTAGGCTTAGGTAGAGGGCTGCCGAGTCTAAGTAATGCAACCTAAGTTTAGTTGTTTGTATTTTATCCAATGCTCATAAGCGTAATAAAACATGTGGTGTGTGCCAAAAATAAGCTCATAATAGGCCGTATAATCGCTGTAATATAGCCATTGTGAGTCCGTCTGCACCCAGCGATGCTCTTTGCATGTTTTCAGGATGTAACCGGCGTGCTATGAATGCCAGCTTCTCGGTGCTACCTCCTATCACCCCAACAAGCTCCAGCAAACAGCTCAAGAAGCTGGGCGAGCTCCAGGAAATCACGCTCAAGTAAGCTAAACAGTAAATATGTGATCGGTAGACGTCACAACAGAGTTAATGCACAAGTGTGAAACGATAACGCTACAATTTTTATCGGCACACGTTTGGAAAAATTTGGCATGAAGAATAACACCATACGTCACCCCTATTCGTATTCACCACTCGCTATTTCAGTATCCGGGTGGCCGTTTGATGGTTTCAGAAACGAGCTGTACCGTAGCTCTGAGTTGCTTCACGAGAGGCGGGTGCAGCGGATTCTGAACGAACTGCGGACTCTGGACCGGGACCGGGATGGCGTGCTGACACCGAGTCACGTCCGCCACACCCTGCACAAACACCAGGTACGGAGTACGGACCACACCGGGACCGGGACCATACGTAACGACACCGGCCCGGCACCACAGGGGACCATACAGGGACCACAGGGGACCGCACAAGGACCGGGATCGGGAGGCGTGCTGACACCAAGCCACCTCCGGCACACCCTGCACAAACACCAGGTACGGACCACACCGGGACCACAAGGGACCACACCGGAACCGGACCGGATTGGACCGGACCACACAAGACCCATCTTGGACCGGGCCATAATAGACCGGTTAAAACCATTCTGGAGTTAAAAGTCCTGTGCGAGCGATAATACCCGTATTAGAGAGCGACGAATGATAATATGAAGGAACGATAAGCATTCACGCAATAGATTAAAAGAGGTTCCGATGTTCCGATGTCGCTGCCGGCAGCTGACGCTGACTCCGGAGGCGGAGGACAGTCTGGTGACAAAGTTCTCCGAGTCGTCGGAGGCCGTTCGTTACGAGAAGTTGATCCAGTATCTGAGCTCGGTGCGGCTGGAGGCGAGCAGGACGGTGCCGCCTCAGGGACAGTCGCCGCCGAAAGCGCAGGTAGCCGCCTCAGGGGAGAGACTAATCTACATTACCTTATGCACTCATGGGAGGCCAATAGCTATAACAAGTGCGCTGACTTGTAATTGGTCTGTCCAAGTGATCGGTAACTGAGGATCATTGGTACGGTAATTGAGGGACATCATTGGCAATTTTCTAGGAGTGGTCTTCTGTGTTAATGCAGTAGTATGGGTCATGTAGGTATATACGCGACGATCATTCTTTTGTGATTGAAATTAACTGATAATAATCAAATAATTAAACGTTAAAAACCTTCCGTTTAGGCGCCGGCTCCGCGGCTCGGCCGTGCGTTTACTGAGCGGGACGATTCCCGGCTGAAGGAGGACCTGGCCGCCTACCTGAACCTCGACCCCTGGACCTGGACCAGCTCAGCAGGACCTTCTATGACCTGGACCGCGACAGGAATGGCTTCCTGTCCACACAACAGTGAGGTGTGCTCTGACCCTCTCACCGGGATATAAAAGTAATAATGCCTAATGCGCCAAATAATTATATAATCGCGAACACTTATTAACTTTAAATAAATTAAACGTATATAGGGCGAACCGTCTGAAGCGCCTCAGGTAGAACACCATATGTTCATTCTTTCCGAATAAGTCGGTTGTTTTCTTACCCTCCATCGGAAGCAGAGACGTTTTAAGCGAAATACTTACGAAGCTAGAATTGAGAACGATTTTATTCACGTTTTACTTTTATATGGTAAAAGTGGCTAAAACGATAGGCGTTATCACAAGTGTATTCGCGGCCATTGGGCGACGTAAGAAAAGAAGAAACCAACTGGCCCCGAACTTTAAATTATCAGTTAGCATGCACCTTTTCCTTGATGTGTAGAGATTTACCATTATTTGTTACAGAAAATTGCATTTAAAATCTTCCATTTATGCTTTTTCGTCGTTTGCACAATATGTTCTTTTGCTTAGCTAGAAACACTAATTAGAAAGTTCCTGCATCATCAAGAACAATAGGGAAGGCTTGAAGTGAATAAAATAATTTAAACGGTTTTGTAATCTATGTGAGAGCACTTCTAAAATTGCCTGTAGAAATATTGAAGGCAAAAGTTCAACTTTTTCACAAGACGGATGTCTATAAACCTATTTAACTTGTGACAAGTAAGCCGGTATTTCGTCGCCTACAGCCCAGCTTTCCCTAGTGACCGATAGAGGCGCTGCTATCGATGTCCGCCCGTACCGCCTAACGAGTGGTCTTATAATGTGTCGCTTCGGTCACTTAGATTTAAGAATTAACAAAACGTCACAAAGGTTTGAGCACAGTTTTGAGAGACGTTGTGACTATTATAAGAGATAGATAAGAGGAGAGTTAACCCGCGAGTTATTTATTTATTTATTTATTATAAGGCTCGTTACAACATCCACGTAGTGGCAGTTGCTGGGGGGGGGGGGGGGGCGTTAAACGCCCCCACTTTTTTTGCCGGGCCATAGCATAAAAACGGCGCGCCGCAGGCGCGCCAAATTTTGGGTACCTGTAGGGAATTGATTGAAAGTTTATTGTGACAAAGTTTCAAAAAAATCGGTCGGAACATTTTTGAGATATCGAGGTTTTAGTGACGTCATGATTTCTGAGTTTTCGACCAAAAACGGCATATGTTCAAAAAATCATATAAAATCACAGAATAGACATACAGACATGCTGTAAACGCCATTAGACTGCCAATACCATGATCAATCAAATGGCTATCTTCGATTATTGATTATCGTTCCGCATTTTCCATAATCTTGAACTAAATCTTGGCAATTTTTCGTGACTACTTCACGACCATGATACATGAATTTCTTAAATTGAACTTTTTGAGCCAGACACGTAGACATATGATAAAAGGAATGTCACCATCGTGTTCTACGCCCCAAATTTACATATAAAACATGTGTCACAGGCTGCGAATATCAGTTTTGATTTTCGGGGATATGTGCCTACCCGGTTGACCTGACCTTGACCCTGACCTATGCTTGACTGACCCCTACATGGAGCTGACACTATTGTAGGCCTTATAAGATGGATTGTGCACCGTTTTGACAGAGTTTATGGCGAGAGGCGCCCATTGCGATTTGCGAAGTCCTGAAGTCCATGCTACTGAAAGCCCGATTTCAGGTGTTTGACCTGACCTTGACCCGACCTGTGACCTCAAAATTCAACTTTAAAATACTCATCTGAAGCGTCTCGTCGCGCTCTTTCGTTTGCCGCCTCGTGCGTTTCGCTGCGCCTATTGGTTCTCGAGTTATCGGCTGGGGGCGTTTAACGCCACCCCCCCCCCCAGCAAACGGTGGGTGGCGAAATACCCCAGCAACTGCCGGGTTAAGAGAGATAAGAGATAAGAGACCTTACTCTTATGTTAGCCAAAAGATATACAAATTTAAAAAGACATAAAAATTCAAAAATACAAAATACAGTTTCGGCCCTGCCTCAGTATTTTGTATTTTGTCGTTTTGATTTTTTTTATATCGTTTGGCTAATATGAGAGTAAGGTTAATATCTCTTAATATATAGTAAAAACGTCACAAAACTGGACAGGCGGAACTGAGCTGAGAGTATCCGAGGGTTGGGACTTTCAATTAGAACAATCACTATTATTTATGTATCCCCTATAGGTAGAGACGGGTCTGCACCGCTGCGGGCTGGAGGACATGCCACAGGAGCTGCTGGCCAGGCTGTGTACGGCCACAGACAAACAGGGTAACGGCCTGTGTGACATCGACAAGCTGACGGCGTACCTGGGTAGGGCCTCACCGGGCGCCAGCCGGGCCAGCGGTAGTATTCAGGGTCAGTGGTGGGACGGAATAGTGGGAAGACATCAGGAATATCAATTGCTTTAAATGCTTCAAATGCTTCAAGTGGTTTAACATAATAATATGTGGATCAGGAAGTGTATAGGAATGCAGTAAATCATTTTGCTTTTGAATGATGTATATATTTGTATGTACAGATAAAGAAACGGATGCACTGAAATTCGAGGCATAATTTCAGGTGTTGGAAACAAGTAGGATAAGAAATTCAGATAGTTTGCTTTTGAATGATGTACATATTTGTACCGATAAAGAAACGTCCAGAGCCTATTTTAAGGGAATTTGACTGGGGGGGCAACCTGGAAAATTGTCTTTAATAATCCATTAACCCTCGCCCGTATTGGTGTTTCCAGTAGCGAGCGTATAGGGGGGGGGGGGGGTCCGTTGGACAATGGACCCTCCCCCTTGCCGTTTCGCCCCTGATCGAGCTAGAGCTTCGCGGAAAAAAACGACCGTGTTGCCCGTGATGAAAGGAAGCCGATTATACCCAATTTTAAGGTCCTAGGTCATCGGTTGACCTTCCAGGTCAGGTCATTGACCCAAAAGTCGGGAAAATCGGGACCTGTTAGAGCGTCGTAAAGAGTGGCTGCTATGGTTTTTCGGGGTGCTGATCACGAATATCATGTTAGTTATGATCATAGATGATGTCTTCATGCATTTAGGCCAGGTCAGGTCAGGTCAGGTCAACCAGTAAGGGTTTTGCCGGGTATTCGTAGTAGGTGGCAACCGCCTCTGACAGCTTCGTAACATGTTACGAAGGCACCAAAACTACTTCGTAAATGGTCAAATGGTTGCTTAATTCGAATTCAGCTCCAAAAACTAGCCTTGAAACATATAAAACTCGAAAATGTGAACCGAGGTCATCAAAGGTAAATGATCTGACCTGACCTTCCGGTGATCTTGACACCCACCCTAATGCATGGGAGCAACATCATATCCCATGTTTGAACGTTTGAAACCACGAAAAGACTGCAAACGCGCGGCTAATGCGAGGCGACATACGCCGAATCGCGACCTCGGCCAAACATGGTGCCATGGTGCTAGGCCGCCGGTGCATCTGAAAGAACTGTGGTGCCCCTGACAAGCCTGAAGTTCCAACGACAGGCCCGTGGTGCCCCTGACAGGCCCATGATGCCTTTGCGAGGCCGGTGGTGTCCACGTGAGGCCGGTGGTGCCCCTGGGCCCCGACAGGACTGTGGTGCTCCTGACAAGCCTGGAGTGTCCCCGACAGGCACGTGGTGCCACTAACAGGCCCAAGGTGTCCCAGTCCCTGCGAGGCCGGTGTTGTCCCTGCCAGGCATGTGGTGTCCATACTAGGCCTCTGGTGCCCCTGGTAGGTCCGTGGCGCCCTTGCTAGGCCTATGGTGCCTCTGGCAGGCCTATGGTGTCCCTGGCGGGCCTGTGGTGGTACCCCTGACAGGCCCAAGGTGGTGCCCCTGCGAGGCTGGTGGGGCCCCTGGCAGGTCTGTGGTGCCCCTGGCAGACCTGTGGTGCTCTTGCTAGGTTGATGGTGCTCCCAACAGGCCTGTGGTGCCCCTGACAGGCCGGTGGTGCCCCTGGCAGGCCTGTGGTGTCCCGGCCTGGGCCCCAAGAGGGTGGGGGTCATGACCCATATGACCCACCCTTAGATACACCACTGGTCATTACTTACAGACTGACTCATTTGATATCCATTGCAAAACAAGTCACAGTAGTTCCGTAGTATGTTTGTCACCCTGTTCCTTTATGCCCATTTTTATAGTGGGCAAATCTCGACGACTAGGGGGGCAATTCTGTTGAGTGCGGGGGCATTTGCCCCCCCAGTTAACATGTTAAAATAGGCCCTGGAAACGTCTGAATTGAAACTCGAGACACAATTTCAGGTATCGGGAACAACCACCGTCCGAGACGGCCAAAGGAACCGCCTCCGGTGATCTCCAACTCCGGTTACCGGCCGCCCCAGCCCGCCTACCAGCCGCGGCTGGCCGACCAGGTTTGGAGAAAAAGTGCAAAACCGTCCTTAGATAAAGTGTATGTGGATTGTGCACTTCATGTACACTGGCGGATCCAGGGGGGGGCCACGGGGGCCATGGCCCCCCCCAAAGGCCTAAAGTGGCCTGTTTGGCCCCCCCAAAACGCCAGAAAAATTGCTAAGAAAATATACCTTGATGGAGGTTTTTAGCCACTTGGTGAAGTAAAGCTTTCCACAGCATAATATGGAAGCAATATAGTAGCAGTGAGGGTCAGTCAAAAGTTGCGCGAGCGGAGTCGACCTTAAAAAAAAAGACTGTTGTTGGCACGTGTTTATGGCGCGGAAGCTGGTAGTTGGCGGTGTTTCGCGTGGTGTGGCATCACTGGCGGATCTGGGGGGAGGGGGGGGGGGGCACGGGAGCCTGAGATGCCCCTGACAGGCCCGTGGTGCCCTTGCTAGACCTGTGGTGCCCCTGGACCCTGGCAGGCCTGTGGTACAGTCCACAGCAGAAGTAATGTAGGGTTTCAGTCATTGGTATGTTCTGCTTCTGAAGCTTAGGAACGATTAGCCAGACTACAATGAAACTTTGAATGTAGCTTATATGTATCGTCACCCTTGCAGCTGCAACTTTAGCTATTGACATCTTCTTTTCAATCACTTCGCATTAAACAATCGCCAGTCAAAGCCAACCGTTGAGTTTGGTAAAACCCTACATTACTTTAGCGGTGGGCTGTACCTCTGGCGGGCCTAGGGTGCCCCTGCTAGGCTGCTGATGCCCCTGGGACCTGACAGGACTGTGGTGCCCCTGACAAGCCTAAAGTGCCCCCAACAGGCCCGTGATGCCCCCGACAGGCCCAAGGTGCCCCTGCGTGATGCCGTGATGCCTGCGAGGCCGGTGGTGCCCCCTGCGAGGCCGGTGGGGCCCCTGACAGGCCCATGGTGCCCCTGCTAGACCGGTGGTGCCCCTGGCAGGCCTGTGGTGCCCCTGCTAGGCCGCTGGTGCCCCTGGGCCCTGACAGGACTGTGGTGCCCCTGACAGGCCCAAGGTGCCCCTGTAAGGCCTGTGGTACCCCTGCTAGGCCTCTGGTGTCCCTGACAGGCCCATGGTGCCCCTGCGAGGCCGGCGGCGCCCCTGGCAGGTCTCTGGTGTCCCTGACAGACCTGGGGTGCCCCTGACAAGCCTGTGGGGCCCCTCACAGGCCTGTGGTGCCCCTGGCGGGCTGGTGGTGCCCCTACTAGGCCGGTGGTGCCCCTGACAGGCCTGTGGTGCCCCCGGGCACCAAGGGGGTCATGACCCATGTGGCCCCCCTTTGATCTGCCACTGATGCATAATATATTGATTTGTAAAGGCGTTATGGCTTATGCAATATGCAATTGCAGGCACTTGGTATCCCTCACTTATCCCTCATTGGGGCTCTGGCGGGCTCATGAGGGCCCACGTCTATCTCCGGGAGCCCATATAGACAGGCTCCTTTGGGTCCTTTCAGAGCATAAGAGGTCTCCATGCGAGTCCTATACATACATCTGAGGGCGTACCCTGATGTCTGAGGTACCCAACTGCAGCTCCAATGGTCTCTTCTTACACTGGCGGATCCAGGGAGGGGGCATTTAGGGCCATGCCCCTTTCCCAGAGGCCTAAAGTGGCCCGTTTTTCCCCTCCCCCAAACGACAATGAAACATAGTTCAATCAGGGCGTGGCCCAGGAGCCGAGTTAGACAGGGCTGTTTTACCACCTCCCGGCCCGCAAAGGGACCCAAGCACTGACTCGAAGCGGGTTAAAGAGACCCTCCCGGCTCCCACCTTCAAAAAAGTTAATGAATTGGCATGAAGTGATGTCGCTAGGTTCAGAAAGGGCGAAAACGAATATCTACCAAATTGTATCGAAAAATATTCACCGGTTTTCAAGAGATTAGACTTTTATTTTTGTTTACTTTTTGGGATATCCGCTGCTGTTCCTAGCGACTTTATTTGAAAGTGCGGCATTTGTTGCGCGCAAAGCAGCCTATACCACCGCATGCTACCAAACGTTTTAGTAAAATATTAAAAAATCATTAGATCTCCGCTGACGTCACACATTCAGAGGGGTATCCAAAAGCATTAGCCCCTCTGAATCAAAATGCTGCAATTTTGAAATTCAATATTTCCGATTTAAGGCATTTCTCGATGTTGTGAGTGCGTGCCGAAACCGGTAATTGTGAGCCAGGGACCCCATTTTGGCTATCTCAGCTCAAATCTAATGTTAAGGTGGGAGGGTCCCTTTAACTGGTCGATAAAAACAATGGTAAGTGTTTACAAAGTAATATAAAGGCATGGGTCGGGTGGGCTACCATTTATATATTTTTCTTTTTAGTTAAAAAAAAATTCATAGTGTCAGGGCTGTGACGAAAAATAAGTGGCCTAAATCCGATGAGAAAACAGGATTTGGGGGTACCCTAGGTTTGGCTCCTGCATGAGTTGGCCCCCCCCAAAACGCAAGCCTGGATCCGCCAGTGTTCATGTATGAAGCCTTTTCATATGCAATGTGCAACGCGCATGTCCGAATGATCGTCGCGGCAATCGGTTTGCCTGTCAATAGACTGCGCCGGCCGCCGCCATGTAATGCGGCACAGTCTACCTACAGGCGTTCGGCGGTATTGCGGCACAGCCTACCCACCAGCCTACTGAAGCCGGCGCGCAGTGCTCACTTGTTTCGGCAGTCTTTACGGAACAAAAAAAGAAGAAGCATTCACTCTCCTATATTTACATGTGGAATCATTTTAAGCCACATTAATCCCAGCTTGGATATTTGTTGTGATATTTTAGAACATTAATCAAATTTACTATTTAGTATTTAAATCGTGTCGTAAGGAGCATATTTTAGCCACGGTTTAGGTACGCGACAAAATAACGGGCTTACTGTCTGTCTTACGCACTTTTCCGGAAAGCTAGCGTCTATAATTTTCAGTATTTATTCATTCCGCTCTCACTCATGCTTAGTCCGCTGTTATGGTGTGTGTGTCTCTGTTAGCGATGTTGAGCCGTTCCCAAACTACCCCATTCCACCGACACTGCCGCAGGAGCCGGAAGGCGTTCCGGAGAACTCAGCTCGGCCGGAGAGTGCCGGGGCGATACCGTACGACACCGCCTACCCGCCGTCGCCACCGACCCCCGAGTTTGACCGCGACCAGTGGATGGCGGATTATCAGCACCTGGTCACCACACTGGGCCTCAGCGGCGCAGAGGACGGAGGTGAGCGGCCGGCCGAGCGTAACAGCTGGTCCGCCAATCGGGAAAAACGACACTGGCCGGGTCTGTTGGCCGAAGGGCCCAGTTACGGACCCGTTTGTGGCTCGACAGGGCCCGCCAACTCGAAGGCTCGAATAAATCATTTAAATGAAGCTTATGTAATTGAACACACGCCACGATGGATAACAGTAGTTTTTTTTTACTTCAGAGGACGTAGGATAGCGGATTGTGCCTTACCTATTGTATAACGCCTCTCTTCCCCATTGGCTATACGATCGTATCTGAGAGGATAAATTGTTATGAAAATAATCGTTATATAAAACCGTTTAACTACCGTCCCTCCGGCAGGGTACCTGGCTCCTGACGAGGTGGGACGGATCACGGAGAGCTACAACACCATCTACAACCTCGGCATCCCCATCGACCTGGTGAACCGCGCGCTGGGGCAGTCCGCTGAGCCCACCTACGGCATGGTCCAGCTCGCCACCTACACGGACGTGCTGATGAACCTGTTCCTCAACTCGGTGTAGCGCTGCATAGGCTTGTGTTACCCACGCTGGATTGGCTTAACTGCGATAAAGGGTTGCTGAGAGATGCATTGAGATGTTGACAGTCGATACAGCATTGACAGGGTATGATTTGTGCCTTGCGATTTGCAGAACACAGTGGATGAATAGGCAACATAATTGTCAGCCAGTTTACATAGGTATACGTACGAGTTTCGATATTTAGTTTTTGCCTGGTCGCAAGTTTGTTAATGTAACGGAAGTTAGCAGGGATTCAGCAGGGGTTCAGCAGGGATTCAGCAGGGATCGACGGCCCCTACGATTTCGCTGAAATTTGGTGGAGAGGTGCAGAATGGTGTCCTCTATCGAAAATCCTAGTGCCAAAATGCGGGGAATCCATCAGGGGGGCCACAAATCCCAAAAAACAGTATGCCCTCAGGGCACAATCGACGAACTTTGAAAACCCTACTTCTAGCCGTCAAAACAGCTAAAAATGCACGTCATTCGAAAGAGGACAAAATTTTACATGCAACGGTACCAAATTTAAGGGGCTAGCGCCCCCCTGAACCGAACAAAACAGCTTCAAATATATGGGCCCGGGAGTATGCCCTCGGGGCATGAATAAACGTTTTCAACCATTTCAGGCCTATAACATCGACAAAATCCAGCAATATGCACATCATTGGAAAGAGCGTAATTTCCCAAACAAAAAACCCAAGTAACATTTTTCGATGGGGCCCACCTGGGGCCCACAGGACCCAATTGAAATTTGGGGCCCAATGGGGCGGCCCCTACGATTTTCTTCAAAATTTGCACAGACACTCTCCTGGGCCCCCTCTTCAATCTGGCTGAAGAAACCTACCGGGGAATCCAAAGGAAGAGGCCCAAAGAGGGCCCCAAAGAGGCCCTTTCTAAGTATTGCCCCTAATTTCGCGACCAACCCCGGCAATATGCACATCATTGGAAAGAGCGTAATTTCCCAAACAAAAAACCCAAGTAACATTTTTCGATGGGGCCCACCTGGGGCCCACGGGACCCAATTGAAATTTGGGGCCCAATGGGGCGGCCCCTACGATTTTCTTCAAAATTGGCACAGACACTCTCCTGGGCCCCCTCTTCAATCTGGCTGAAGAAACCTACCGGGGAATCCAAAGGAAGGGGCCCAAAGAGGGCCCCAAAGAGGCCCTTTCTAAGTATTGCCCCTAATTTCGCGACCAACCCCGGCAATATGCACATCATTGGAAAGAGCGTAATTTCCCAAACAAAAAACCCAAGTAACATTTTTCGATGGGGCCCACCTGGGGCCCACGGGACCCAATTGAAATTTGGGGCCCAATGGGGCGGCCCCTACGATTTTCTTCAAAATTTGCACAGACACTCTCCTGGGCCCCCTCTTCAATCTGGCTGAAGAAACCTACCGGGGAATCCAAAGGAAGGGGCCCAAAGAGGGCCCCAAAGAGGCCCTTTCTAAGTATTGCCCCTAATTTCGCGACCAACCCCGGCAATATGCACATCATTGGAAAGAGCGTAATTTCCCAAACAAAAAACCCAAGTAACATTTTTCGATGGGGCCCACCTGGGGCCCACAGGACCCAATTGAAATTTGGGGCCCAATGGGGCGGCCCCTACGATTTTCTTCAAAATTTGCACAGACACTCTCCTGGGCCCCCTCTTCAATCTGGCTGAAGAAACCTACCGGGGAATCCAAAGGAAGGGGCCCAAAGAGGGCCCCAAAGAGGCCCTTTCTAAGTATTGCCCCTAATTTCGCGACCAACCCCGGCAATATGCACATCATTGGAAAGAACGTAATTTCCCAAACAAAAAAACCCAAGTAACATTTTTCGATGGGGCCCACCTGGGGCCCACGGGACCCAATTGAAATTTGGGGCCCAATGGGGCGGCCCCTACGATTTTCTTCAAAATTTGCACAGACACTCTCCTGGGCCCCCTCTTCAATCTGGCTGAAGAAACCTACCGGGGAATCCAAAGGAAGGGGCCCAAAGAGGGCCCCAAAGAGGCCCTTTCTAAGTATTGCCCCTAATTTCGCGACCAACCCCGGCAATATGCACATCATTGGAAAGAGCGTAATTTCCCAAACAAAAAACCCAAGTAACATTTTTCGATGGGGCCCACCTGGGGCCCACGGGACCCAATTGAAATTTGGGGCCCAATGGGGCGGCCCCTACGATTTTCTTCAAAATTGGCACAGACACTCTCCTGGGCCCCCTCTTCAATCTGGCTGAAGAAACCTACCGGGGAATCCAAAGGAAGGGGCCCAAAGAGGGCCCCAAAGAGGCCCTTTCTAAGTATTGCCCCTAATTTCGCGACCAACCCCGGCAATATGCACATCATTGGAAAGAGCGTAATTTCCCAAACAAAAAACCCAAGTAACATTTTTCGATGGGGCCCACCTGGGGCCCACGGGACCCAATTGAAATTTGGGGCCCAATGGGGCGGCCCCTACGATTTTCTTCAAAATTTGCACAGACACTCTCCTGGGCCCCCTCTTCAATCTGGCTGAAGAAACCTACCGGGGAATCCAAAGGAAGGGGCCCAAAGAGGGCCCCAAAGAGGCCCTTTCTAAGTATTGCCCCTAATTTCGCGACCAACCCCGGCAATATGCACATCATTGGAAAGAGCGTAATTTCCCAAACAAAAAACCCAAGTAACATTTTTCGATGGGGCCCACCTGGGGCCCACGGGACCCAATTGAAATTTGGGGCCCAATGGGGCGGCCCCTACGATTTTCTTCAAAATTGGCACAGACACTCTCCTGGGCCCCCTCTTCAATCTGGCTGAAGAAACCTACCGGGGAATCCAAAGGAAGGGGCCCAAAGAGGGCCCCAAAGAGGCCCTTTCTAAGTATTGCCCCTAATTTCGCAACCAACCCCGGCAATATGCACATCATTGGAAAGAGCGTAATTTCCCAAACAAAAAACCCAAGTAACATTTTTCGATGGGGCCCACCTGGGGCCCACGGGACCCAATTGAAATTTGGGGCCCAATGGGGCGGCCCCTACGATTTTCTTCAAAATTTGCACAGACACTCTCCTGGGCCCCCTCTTCAATCTGGCTGAAGAAACCTACCGGGGAATCCAAAGGAAGGGGCCCAAAGAGGGCCCCAAAGAGGCTCTTTCTAAGTATTGCCCCTAATTTCGCGACCAACCCCGGCAATATGCACATCATTGGAAAGAGCGTAATTTCCCAAACAAAAAACCCAAGTAACATTTTTCGATGGGGCCCACCTGGGGCCCACGGGACCCAATTGAAATTTGGGGCCCAATGGGGCGGCCCCTACGATTTTCTTCAAAATTGGCACAGACACTCTCCTGGGCCCCCTCTTCAATCTGGCTGAAGAAACCTACCGGGGAATCCAAAGGAAGGGGCCCAAAGAGGGCCCCAAAGAGGCCCTTTCTAAGTATTGCCCCTAATTTCGCGACCAACCCCGGCAATATGCACATCATTGGAAAGAGCGTAATTTCCCAAACAAAAAACCCAAGTAACATTTTTCGATGGGGCCCACCTGGGGCCCACGGGACCCAATTGAAATTTGGGGCCCAATGGGGCGGCCCCTACGATTTTCTTCAAAATTGGCACAGACACTCTCCTGGGCCCCCTCTTCAATCTGGCTGAAGAAACCTACCGGGGAATCCAAAGGAAGGGGCCCAAAGAGGGCCCCAAAGAGGCCCTTTCTAAGTATTGCCCCTAATTTCGCGACCAACCCCGGCAATATGCACATCATTGGAAAGAGCGTAATTTCCCAAACAAAAAACCCAAGAAACATTTTTCGATGGGGCCCACCTGGGGCCCACGGGACCCAATTGAAATTTGGGGCCCAATGGGGCGGCCCCTACGATTTTCTTCAAAATTTGCACAGACACTCTCCTGGGCCCCCTCTTCAATATGGCTGAAGAAACCTACCGGGGAATCCAAAGGAAGGGGCCCAAAGAGGGCCCCAAAGAGGCCCTTTCTAAGTATTGCCCCTAATTTCGCGACCAACCCCGGCAATATGCACATCATTGGAAAGAGCGTAATTTCCCAAACAAAAAACCCAAGTAACATTTTTCGATGGGGCCCACCTGGGGCCCACGGGACCCAATTGAAATTTGGGGCCCAATGGGGCGGCCCCTACGATTTTCTTCAAAATTGGCACAGACACTCTCCTGGGCCCCCTCTTCAATCTGGCTGAAGAAACCTACCGGGGAATCCAAAGGAAGGGGCCCAAAGAGGGCCCCAAAGAGGCCCTTTCTAAGTATTGCCCCTAATTTCGCGACCAACCCCGGCAATATGCACATCATTGGAAAGAGCGTAATTTCCCAAACAAAAAACCCAAGAAACATTTTTCGATGGGGCCCACCTGGGGCCCACGGGACCCAATTGAAATTTGGGGCCCAATGGGGCGGCCCCTACGATTTTCTTCAAAATTTGCACAGACACTCTCCTGGGCCCCCTCTTCAATATGGCTGAAGAAACCTACCGGGGAATCCAAAGGAAGGGGCCCAAAGAGGGCCCCAAAGAGGCCCTTTCTAAGTATTGCCCCTAATTTCGCGACCAACCCCGGCAATATGCACATCATTGGAAAGAGCGTAATTTCCCAAACAAAAAACCCAAGTAACATTTTTCGATGGGGCCCACCTGGGGCCCACGGGACCCAATTGAAATTTGGGGCCCAATGGGGCGGCCCCTACGATTTTCTTCAAAATTTGCACAGACACTCTCCTGGGCCCCCTCTTCAATCTGGCTGAAGAAACCTACCGGGGAATCCAAAGGAAGGGGCCCAAAGAGGGCCCCAAAGAGGCCCTTTCTAAGTATTGCCCCTAATTTCGCGACCAACCCCGGCAATATGCACATCATTGGAAAGAGCGTAATTTCCCAAACAAAAAACCCAAGTAACATTTTTCGATGGGGCCCACCTGGGGCCCACAGGACCTAATTGAAATTTGGGGCCCAATGGGGCGGCCCCTACGATTTTCTTCAAAATTGGCACAGATACTCTCCTGGGCCCCCTCTTCAATCTGGCTGAAGAAACCTACCGGGGAATCCAAAGAAAGGGGCCCAAAGAGGGCCCCAAAGAGGCCCTTTCTAAGTATTGCCCCTAATTACGCGACCAACCCCGGCAATATGCACATCATTGGAAAGAGCGTAATTTCCCAAACAAAAAACCCAAGTAACATTTTTCGATGGAGCCCACCTGGGGCCCACGGGACCCAATTGAAATTTCCCCTTCCTTCCTTCCTTCCTTCCTTCCTTTCGAAGGGCCCCTTCCTTTGGATTCCCCGGTAGGTTTCTTCAGCCAGATTGAAGAGGGGGCCCAGGAGAGTGTCTGTGCAAATTTTGAAGAAAATCGTAGGGGCCGCCCCATTGGGCCCCAAATTTCAATTGGGTCCCGTGGGCCCCAGGTGGGCCCCATCGAAAAATGTTACTTGGGTTTTTTGTTTGGGAAATTACGCTCTTTCCAATGATGTGCATATTACCGGGGTTGGTCGCGAAATTAGGGGCAATACTTAGAAAGGGCCTCTTTGGGGGCCTCTTTGGGCCCCTTCCTTTGGATTCCCCGGTAGGTTTCTTCAGCCAGATGGAAGAAGGGGCCCAGGAGAGTGTCTGTGCAAATTTTGAAGAAAATCGTAGGGGCCGCCCCATTGGGCCCCAAATTTCAATTGGGTCCCGTGGGCCCCAGGTGGGCCCCATCGAAAAATGTTACTTGGGTTTTTTGTTTGGGAAATTACGCTCTTTCCAATGATGTGCATATTGCCGGGGTTGGTCGCGATATTAGGGGCAATACTTAGAAAGGGCCTCTTTGGGGCCCTCTTTGGGCCCCTTCCTTTGGATTCCCCGGTAGGTTTCTTCAGCCAGATTGAAGAGGGGGCCCAGGAGAGTGTCTGTGCAAATTTTGAAGAAAATCGTAGGGGCCGCCCCATTGGGCCCCAAATTTCAATTGGGTCCCGTGGGCCCCAGGTGGGCCCCATCGAAAAATGTTACTTGGGTTTTTTGTTTGGGAAATTACGCTCTTTCCAATGATGTGCATATTGCCGGGGTTGGTCGCGATATTAGGGGCAATACTTAGAAAGGGCCTCTTTGGGGCCCTCTTTGGGCCCCTTCCTTTGGATTCCCCGGTAGGTTTCTTCAGCCAGATTGAAGAGGGGGCCCAGGAGAGTGTCTGTGCAAATTTTGAAGAAAATCGTAGGGGCCGCCCCATTGGGCCCCAAATTTCAATTGGGTCCCGTGGGCCCCAGGTGGGCCCCATCGAAAAATGTTACTTGGGTTTTTTGTTTGGAAAATTACGCTCTTTCCAATGATGTGCATATTGCCGGGGTTGGTCGCGATATTAGGGGCAATACTTAGAAAGGGCCTCTTTGGGGCCCTCTTTGGGCCCCTTCCTTTGGATTCCCCGGTAGGTTTCTTCAGCCAGATTGAAGAGGGGGCCCAGGAGAGTGTCTGTGCAAATTTTGAAGAAAATCGTAGGGGCCGCCCCATTGGGCCCCAAATTTCAATTGGGTCCCGTGGGCCCCAGGTGGGCCCCATCGAAAAATGTTACTTGGGTTTTTTGTTTGGGAAATTACGTTCTTTCCAATGATGTGCATATTGCCGGGGTTGGTCGCGATATTAGGGGCAATACTTGGAAAGGGCCTCTTTGGGGCCCTCTTTGGGCCCCTTTCTTTGGATTCCCCGGTAGGTTTCTTCAGCCAGATTGAAGAGGGGGCCCAGGAGAGTGTCTGTGCAAATTTTGAAGAAAATCGTAGGGGCCGCCCCATTGGGCCCCAAATTTCAATTGGGTCCCGTGGGCCCCAGGTGGGCCCCATCGAAAAATGTTACTTGGGTTTTTTGTTTGGGAAATTACGCTCTTTCCAATGATGTGCATATTGCCGGGGTTGGTCGCGATATTAGGGGCAATACTTAGAAAGGGCCTCTTTGGGGCCCTCTTTGGGCCCCTTCCTTTGGATTCCCCGGTAGGTTTCTTCAGCCAGATTGAAGAGGGGGCCCAGGAGAGTGTCTGTGCAAATTTTGAAGAAAATCGTAGGGGCCGCCCCATTGGGCCCCAAATTTCAATTGGGTCCCGTGGGCCCCAGGTGGGCCCCATCGAAAAATGTTACTTGGGTTTTTTGTTTGGGAAATTACGCTCTTTCCAATGATGTGCATATTGCCGGGGTTGGTCGCGAAATTAGGGGCAATACTTAGAAAGGGCCTCTTTGGGGCCCTCTTTGGGCCCTTCCTTTGGATTCCCCGGTAGGTTTCTTCAGCCAGATTGAAGAAGGGGCCCAGGAGAATGTCTGTGCAAATTTTGAAGAAAATCGTAGGGGCCGCCCCATTGGGCCCCAAATTTCAATTGGGTCCCGTGGGCCCCAGGTGGGCCCCATCGAAAAATGTTACTTGGGTTTTTTGTTTGGGAAATTACGCTCTTTCCAATGATGTGCATATTGCCGGGGTTGGTCGCGATATTAGGAGCAATACTTAGAAAGGGCCTCTTTGGGCCCTCTTTGGGCCCCTTCCTTTGGATTCCCCGGTAGGTTTCTTCAGCCAGATTGAAGAGGGGGCCCAGGAGAGTGTCTGTGCAAATTTTGAAGAAAATCGTAGGGGCCGCCCCATTGGGCCCCAAATTTCAATTGGGTCCCGTGGGCCCCAGGTGGGCCCCATCGAAAAATGTTACTTGGGTTTTTTGTTTGGGAAATTACGCTCTTTCCAACGATGTGCATATTGCCGGGGTTGGTCGCGAAATTAGGGGCAATACTTAGAAAGGACCTCTTTGGGGGCCTCTTTGGGCCCCTTCCTTTGGATTCCCCGGTAGGTTTCTTCAGCCAGATTGAAGAGGGGGCCCAGGAGAGTGTCTGTGCAAATTTTGAAGAAAATCGTAGGGGCCGCCCCATTGGGCCCCAAATTTCAATTGGGTCCCGTGGGCCCCAGGTGGGCCCCATCGAAAAATGTTACTTGGGTTTTTTATTGGGAAATTACGCTCTTTCCAATGATGTGCATATTGCCGGGGTTGGTCGCGATATTAGGGGCAATACTTAGAAAGGGCCTCTTTGGGGCCCTCTTTGGGCCCCTTCCTTTGGATTCCCCGGTAGGTTTCTTCAGCCAGATTGAAGAGGGGGCCCAGGAGAGTGTCTGTGCAAATTTTGCAGAAAATCGTAGGGGCCGCCCCATTGGGCCCCAAATTTCAATTGGGTCCCGTGGGCCCCAGGTGGGCCCCATCGAAAAATGTTACTTGGGTTTTTTGTTTGGGAAATTACGCTCTTTCCAATGATGTGCATATTGCCGGGGTTGGTCGCGATATTAGGGAAATACTTAGAAAGGGCCTCTTTGGGGCCCTCTTTGGGCCCCTTCCTTTGGATTCCCCGGTAGGTTTCTTCAGCCAGATTGAAGAGGGGGCCCAGGAGAGTGTCTGTGCAAATTTTGAAGGAAATCGTAGGGGCCGCCCCATTGGGCCCCAAATTTCAATTGGGTCCCGTGGGCCCCAGGTGGGCCCCATCGAAAAATGTTACTTGGGTTTTTTGTTTGGGAAATTACGCTCTTTCCAATGATGTGCATATTGCCGGGGTTGGTCGCGAAATTAGGGGCAATACTTAGAAAGGGCCTCTTTGGGGCCCTATTTGGGCCACTTCCTTTGGATTCCCCGGTAGGTTTCTTCAGCCAGATTGAAGAGGGGGCCCTGGAGAGTGTCTGTGCAAATTTTGAAGAAAATCGTAGGGGCCGCCCCATTGGGCCCCAAATTTCAATTGGGTCCCGTGGGCCCCAGGTGGGCCCCATCGAAAAATGTTACTTGGGTTTTTTGTTTGGGAAATTACGCTCTTTCCAATGATGTGCATATTGCCGGGGTTGGTCGCGAAATTAGGGGCAATACTTAGAAAGGGCCTCTTTGGGGCCCTCTTTGGGCCCCTTCCTTTGGATTCCCCGGTAGGTTTCTTCAGCCAGATTGAAGAGGGGGCCCAGGAGAGTGTCTGTGCAAATTTTGAAGAAAATCGTAGGGGCCGCCCCATTGGGCCCCAAATTTCAATTGGGTCCCGTGGGCCCCAGGTGGGCCCCATCGAAAAATGTTACTTGGGTTTTTTGTTTGGGAAATTACGCTCTTTCCAATGATGTGCATATTGCCGGGGTTGGTCGCGATATTAGGGGCAATACTTAGAAAGGGCCTCTTTGGGGCCCTCTTTGGGCCCCTTCCTTTGGATTCCCCGGTAGGTTTCTTCAGCCAGATTGAAGAGGGGGCCCAGGAGAGTGTCTGTGCAAATTTTGAAGAAAATCGTAGGGGCCGCCCCATTGGGCCCCAAATTTCAATTGGGTCCCGTGGGCCCCAGGTGGGCCCCATCGAAAAATGTTACTTGGGTTTTTTGTTTGGGAAATTACGCTCTTTCCAATGATGTGCATATTGCTGGATTTTGTCGATGTTATAGGCCTGAAATGGTTGAAAACGTTTATTTATGCCCCGAGGGCATACTCCCGGGCCCATATATTTGAAGCTGTTTTGTTCGGTTCAGGGGGGCGCTAGCCCCCTAAATTTGGTACCGTTGTACGTAAAGTTTTGTCCTCTTTCGAATGACGTGCATTTTTAGCTGTTTTGACGGCTAGAAGTAGGGTTTTCAAAGTTCGTCGATTGTGCCCTGAGGGCATACTGTTTTTTGGGATTTGTGGCCCCCCTGATGGATTCCCCGCATTTTGGCACTAGGATTTTCGATAGAGGACACCATTCTGCATCTCTACACCAAAATTCAGCGAAATCGTAGGGGCCGTCGATCCCTGCTGAATCCCTGCTGAACCCCTGCTGAATCCCTGCTAACTTCCGTTACATAGTTTGTTATACCTACTGGGTGCGTTTTGACTGACCAAAAAACAGGAAGACAATTTGTTTGTGGTCTGAATCGCGCTTTGTCTGCATGCATATCCATTCTCAACATATCGCGTCAAGCGTGTAATTTTGTGCAGGTTATTCGGAAAAATATAACACGGTAAAATGATTAATGAAGATATACGCATCGCATCTATAGATGGCATCGCATCTATGGATGCGTTGAAGCTGTCACTGGGGTCCTGATTGGCCAAATGACGTATTAGCAAAACCTGGCCCAGGGCCAGACCCGTTGGCACTGGCTCCAACGGACCACGACGTTTAATCAAAAAGGTCCCGCTCAACATGGGTGCAATTTTTTTGAGAGGGTATTTGCGAGAAGATAATGCAGATCTTAGGAACGGAATCCACCAGACCGGGTCCCCTGTGTCTAGGTAATTATATATATATATATATATATTTTTTTTTAGGGACGGGACCCTTTCGACCGGGGTCTTGTGTCTAGACGTTCTTAGAGTCATCGGGGCCTTCGCCCTTTGAGAAGGCATTTTTAGAACCGGGTCCCGTTTATGACTGGGCCCCTTGTCTAGCCATTTCTTAGGACTGCAATCCTGGACACCTCTGGATGTGTCCCTAGTCACTAGTGTAAGTAGACATTTCTATTTTATGACCGGGACCCGTCTAGCTGGGGCCGTCTGTCTATTTCTTGACCTGAGCCATAACCCTCGGTAACTATACCATCGATAGTCATAGACAGAATCATAGACCCATCACCTTAGAGTACAGAGGTCATTGAGCAAACTATGACTAATTTGGTTTTGTAGCAACGAATCATTGAGAGCTGTCAAGCGCCTGTTTGCGCGATTTACGTCATTTCATCTCTCACGGCATTGGAGTCGATGCCGATGGCAATTTTGGCCACTCACCTTTGCAAAGTTTGCCCCCGCGCGGAGACTTCCACTAGGACGGAGCCTAAAAATTGCGCTTCTGATCAGTCCTACCGTTGTTTATGCATTTGAATGCTCAGAACTAAGCAAGAGCGCGATTGTCTAAGAAAACTGTCATTGCGAAAATAATGGTCAGGCCCGGTTAGGCCAAGGCGATGAATACCGGTTAGGCAATGTTCCGATTTGGGAAACCGAGAACAAGTCAGGAATAGGATGCTCTCGATGCTGGGTGCGCGGTAGCTTATGATGCCAGTGTTAAATGGAATAAGTATGATCATTGGTGCGTTTGAAATAATTGAATTTTTGTAATATATTTCCAAATTCCAATAATTCCATTTCTTTCCCAAGTACTCCAATGACATCATCACAGTCTTGACGTCATCCAGACTAGAAACTCGATCGCAGACTGACTCTACCAACTCTACCAGAAAACGTGTAGGTAATTTTACGAACCTTGAACCAGTAGATGAGCACTGCGTCCTCTCCGACGCGACGCGCCCATTTGCGGTTACGAGCGCGGGTGGTCTGTCACGTCCGCTTGGATCGGATATGTGATTGTGTGCGCTGGTTAAATGCATTTATTTACGTGTGGTTACTATCAGCTAAACGGGTGACAGTGCTTCTGACTAAACATACTTAAGCTGTTGCTTCGAGGCGGGCAGTCGCGCCCCTCTTGCCACGCGCAGTGGACGAGGAGGAAAGTGAACCCTGTGCCATACGATTATAGACGAGAATTATGAATAAAAAGTGTGGAAAGTGTACGAAAACTGTATATCCTACAGAAGAGCTGAAGTGCTTAGACAAAGTAAGTGCAAGTATCAAGTATGGTGCATGTGAATGATGTTGAATGTCTGCTTCTGCATTGCATTTAATTGAGCTACTCAAAAATTGGTAAACCATCCTGATTAGGGATTACTCCCACCATGTTCAATTCTAATGTGCCCACTTGATCAATGTTTGAACCACTGACTGACTTTTTGTAGTTACAATGCCCAGAAAATGCAGATGTTAATTGCTCAGCATGTGAAGGATGAATCATTGCGAGACCCAGAAAGTTGTTTGTGCTGAGTTTCATTATCTCCCATTTTTATTCTTCAAAATAGCCAATGCTATTTTGTTTTCTGGTGATTTAATTGACAGCTGTGCAAAAGTAATCTTCCAGAAGTTTAATTTTTGTCAATGGTAGGACAACAAAATTTTATCAAATTTAGGTGCTGCATGAGGGACAAATGCTCAAATGCCCTCCCCTTTGGTTGCTCCAGAAGAGATTGCTACCTTATCAGTAAAAATTTAAAAGAACAAAATTGTGCATTTGACAACTTTTAGATCACATGCAATAGAAAAGGCATTATATGCTTATTGCCCTAACATTTTAGGACTGCCAATTATATGCTGATGCATGCCAGCAGAGAACCTTGAGCTTCCTATCAGAATCAAGTGGGCGAGTTTGACATGCTTGACACCTGTGACACATTTCCCATGCTTTTGTCAATTGACACTGGTGTCTGTTCTCTTTCAGTCATGGCACAAAGGCTGCTTCCGGTGCTGGGAGTGTGGAATGGCACTGAACATGAGGACATACAAGGGATTCAACAAACTGCCATACTGTGAAGCGTAAGTACCCCAACATCACTGCAAATTGCATGCGTATTGTCGTTACATACCCATGATGTTGAATATTTTCTTCAATTGGACAATAACTCCAACAAATAAGGTCATCTGATGAAATTTTAAATCCTTTTTGATAATGGTGGGCAAACACTCCATCCAGTATGCTCAGCTGAACTTCTAGTTCTAATGAATTAGTGTTTTTTTTGTAGACGGCATGTGTGCTTCTACTAAGGAATGAATTGAGAGGTGGATCCTAGCCCCTGGGCATCAGAGTCTTGACATCCAAAAGATCTGAAACTGAGATAATAGACCTCCCAAGTCCCAAAGGCTGTAGATATGTTTAGCCCAAACCTTAGGTCTAGGTTCTTGCAGTGCTAAGAGAGCCCCTCCCCCCCCACACACTCATCGCTCAATAGCTCTTTCTGCCATTTGAATGCTGCCACACCCTCCTTTTTCAATAAATCATGTGATCACTACAAATTATAAACCCATTAACCCACCCCTGAGAAACGTTATTTGCCAAACTATTGACCATGACTTGTCCTCCCCCCAAAAAATCCAAGGCCAGATCTACCATTGAATAGGTCAGTGGATAGTGACCACTGACCCGGTTGGTGGTCGTTGGTGCTGTGGTCAGTGGTTGGTGACCCAGTTGGTGCCGTGGTTAGTGCTCGGGGTGACCCAGTTGGTGCCGTGGTCAGTGCTCGGGGTGACCCGACTGCCTCGCGCGCGCGCCAGCTGCTGTCGGAAGCACGTCAGGTCGTCCGACCAGCCCCGCGCCAGTTCCACCGAACGGGGGTGCTAGTTCAGCTGCCAACCGGGCCAGTCTGCCAGCGCTGGCCGAGTGTCAGCGATCGGCTCGCTCACTCGCTCGCTCTTACTGGGTCACGGGTGCCGCCGCTCCTCGCTCACCCACTCCCCACTCCCCTGCGCCGCCCTTACCCCCTCTCCCTCCGGAGTCTCGCCTGTGATCCGTGGGGTTTGCACGTCACTTACTGGACCCACTTGTCACCAGTGGCTGGTCAGGTGGACGATCGTTTTAGACAATTTGGTGTAACCTTTTTCTATGCTTTATTTTTATTTTCTTGTTAACTAACGTGCAAACTGTTGTCTTATATTGGAATAACGGCATCTTTCTAAACATTTATATAATGGTCTGCACATGGTTCGGTGGTTCGTCTGAGTGGCATTGCACTGCAGCGCGCTGCGCAGTATGCATGGGTGCCGACCGAACGCCGGCTGAAGCTGGGCCGCAGCTGGGCAGGACAGCTGGGGTGTGCTCGTGGGGGTGACTCTGCGAGCTGGTGACGCCTTGCACCGCGCTGCAGCTCACTGTGGCTGGCTGTTGATGGATCTAGTGCAGCGCCAGGATTGTAGATAATTGAAGCTGAGAGGTCATTTATGGCCCGGCCGTAGTTGAAAAATGGTCTTTCGGTATATAATGAATGGTTATGGTGTACTTTTTTACGAATTATGACTTCATTGCAAGCCCTAGAGACAACCATTCAGTAAATATTGCAGATAATGCCACAATTCTCGCCGATCGTCACCCAGCACCTGACATCTGGTGCCGGCTGGACAGCGTAATATCCGGTGGAGGAGAGAGGAGCGGTAGGGGCATCCCGTGGGGTCCGCCGGGTCACTCTCGGGCCGTCTGTGTCGCCGACCGGCCATCGTGTTTGTGGCGCTGTATCAACAAACGCTCGACCGCGACCGCCGCCCACGCAGTGGGGCCTCCGCCGCCGCAACGGAGGGCCGAGCGCTGCAGAGGACAGACTGGTGGGGCCCATGGAATTCGCAGCCGATTTCCCATGGTGTTTATAGCGAAGCTGCTCCTGCCGCTGTTCACTCAGCAACTCGGGAGCAGCTCGGGTGTTACGATGATGTAAATGGCTAGTGCATAGTTAAAGGGAGATAATGAGCTTTCTTTTTTCTTTAATAAAAATTACTCGACATCTATACTATTTCTACTGTAGTTTCTATAAAATATGAAAATTTCCTAGCACATTTTCGTATGTGAAAAAGGTTTTTATTTTTGCAAAAAAGAAGCAGTACTTGCAGTACTTGTAACACCCACCGAAATGCGTTGTCCTTCTCTATAAAAAAGTCGCAGTATATGGCGCTTTTGTTCCAAACAGCGACGCTTGGGTTTTTGTTTATGTTATCGCCTTGTCGTTGCTTGGTTGTAAGGATTCTAATTTGAATTAGAGTTAATTCGGTTTAGAATTAATTAGATTCGTACATAGTGCCTACTCTTCTTTGTTTCCAAATATTTTTTTGCGCCACAAATGAACGGCATGCGCCAGAAACGCAGCCAAATCTTGCGATTGCGACTACGAAATTCATTATTTTGGCCTCAGAGCCTGAAGCGAAAAATACAAGCATATTTATTTCAAAAAGACTTCAGGTTTGTCGAACGGTGTTATGAGAATTTTGATGACAGTACTGCATAAGTTTTTCAGTGATGCCGCAAAAGTGTTGTATCTATCTTCTTTTATTGTGCAGTCGGCGGGACCGATTCAAAATTGAGTCGTTGCTACTAAAATAGCAGCATATGGCCTCAGATGATGAACAGGAAAAATAGTTGCGTAAATTTAGACATAAACCACCCCCAAACCATGAATATCTTTTGAAGGCACTATAGACGACCATTAACTAACTAGATGTGATGAAGATCAAATGTAAGGAATACGCTCATTTTACAAAATTACATGCAAGTACCAAAAAGTGATGTAAGTACTTATTCAACGGTCATTTTCAGCGCTCCCCGCTTACGTGACTTCAAGTTGAGATATTTGCGGCAAGGTACCGCATTGAGCAAAATGGTTTTAATTTACATTATAACTTGTTGTGTTTTGTCAGAAAATGATCCTAACTCAGATTTTGTGGAAAAAGGTCATTATCTCCCTTTAAATGGATTTTAAATGACACTTGTGACTGACGTGAAGAAACAAAGCTGTCTGGTTACTATCGTAGGGCGTCGGAGATCAGTGGGCGCTGTTACTATTGTTGAGGCCAACCACACCTTCCATCTCAAAGCCACCAGCTGCCGCTCTTTGGCCGGTGACTGTTTATCAGCCGTCCCGCTCAGCTCCGGGGTGGGGCCTTCGGAGCCTCAGAGGCCGTCGGTCAGGTGGTGCGCTCGTTGAATTGCCGTCCTTGAGTGGACTCCAGTCTAAACACGGCCCGCCCGGACCGGCCCGGTTCGCCGCTACCTGACACGGTCAGTAAGCAGGGCAGTGGCCGCTGCACTGGCCGGTGCACCGACCCGCTCCATGTGTCCGCCTGTTCAATGCAGGCGGTGTCACATGCCAGTGACGTCATCACTCGCCTGACGTCGGGCGGGTGGACCGGCCCGTGGGGACAGGCTGACTACCGCTGTATGAGTGTCGCCCATCCGTCGACATTCCGGCCGCGCTGGTAGTCCGTATGGGGAATTAGCCTCGCGCTAACCCAGACTGAAACCACGCACCACTGACCGAAACTGGCTTGCTTTGACCGCGACTGTAATCGTGGACCATTCGAGATGAGCATGGTAAGCACTAAGCAGCCATGCCGTTTTACTCGTATGTGGCTGTGTAGAGCATCAAAGCAGGCAATTGAAGCAGGCAACCATGACAATTGAAGAGCTGCACTGAAAAGTGGTTATGGCCATGAAACGCGTCATGAGTCCGTCCAGTCTCGGTCTTGAGTCCGTCCAGTCTCGGTCCGGAGCCCGCTCCCCGGCAGTCCGCTGTCAGCCCGGTGCAGAATTTCGGGCGGCGCCGCGCACGTCCACGCTCGGCTGCACTCGCCGCCGTGGAGGACTGCAACGGCCGTGGACGGATATACGCGGCCGGACAGTAAACAAACGCGGCAGCGCACGCGGTCTCGGCCGTCCGAGCGATCCGGCCGCTGCTGCCTAACGGCCGTGGCCTCTGCTGAGCAGGGTCGCCGTCTGCTCTCCGCTGTCACTCCTGTTACGAGGTGACAAACCTGCCCTCTGGTCCCCGTGTCGGCGCCCAGCGTGCGCCGTTCGAGCAGGATCGCTGTGATAGGCGGGTGTCAGGGCGGCGGCGGACACTGCGCTATCTGGTCGGCGCCGATCTCATTAGTGCGCTATCTGTGTGTGGTCGGCGGTGTGTGAGCGGGGCTATCGCGGCCGCCCGCCGAATCCATACGCGTCGCCCACACGGAGAGACTGAGTGGGACCTAGTGGTGGGCGTGACCAGAGTAGGTGTGGCCGGTGTGGGTAGTGTTTGGTTTGGCAGCTTTTCTAACTATCTTCATCTTTATTGGGCATATGGAACTGCCAATCTAACTTACTGTTCATTACACTGACTTACTTTGTTTGACACGTACGGTTTTGGGTGGATAGCTGATGGAAGTGTGGAGTTTCTGTTGACGGCACCGGGCACACAGTCCACGCCGACGGATAGGCTGGGTGACCTCCCTGCGAACAGCAGCGAGTTCCTGGCTGCGTCCGAACGCACTGGCAAGTGGCACAGTGCCATCATACGAACCATGATCGTACCCAGTCTGAACGATAATCAGCCTAAATCATGGCATCCAAGGCGGCAACATTATCCTCATTTCTGTTCCAGACTTCTCTTTCTCTTCCCTTAGGTATACCCGGCATTCAGACACTACCGCTATTTGCACGCGCCAGAGAGCAGTGTGACCACACCATGTCAACCCTCCGACACAGCAATTGGTGCATTTGTGCCGCCAGCGCCGTGCATCGCCATGACAATTTCCTCGACGTTTGTAGGCCACGCCACTTGTGACCATAGCCGAGATGTTCGGCCAGGCGGCATGGCGGCACGAAAGTGAAAGTGGTGCATCCGCCGCGCACCGAGACGGCGGCGCGGAACAGCGCCACCATTGCCGCAATCCTTGTTTATTGCGTCTCGTTAGCCGCTCGGGTAATAGTGCCGTCACTATTTTTATGCGGCGCTCATACCAGTGAGGTGATATGTCAGATGCACTACCAGCGAGTCACACGGATGATAAACTGTGCAGTGTAATAATTTGCTTGGCTCGACCTCTCAATTGGCTTCGGTGCCGTCCACTTGTGATCGGCGCGGGACCGCCTCTGACGGCAGTCTGGCCAACTGCCTGTATGTCTGTCTGGGTCGGTAGACGGTGTCGGGTCGGGTCTGGTCGCCTGCCAGGAGCTGCCGGCCGACGACACCTTACGAATGACCCGGTGACACATGACGTCATCGGCCCGACGACACGTGACGTCACTGGCCGGTCTGGCAGCGTCCGAAGCGTGCCACGTCTGATCTGATCTCGATGTGTCATCGGCTGGCTCGCTGATCAATTTAGTGACCGAGGTCAGGGCTCCTGGCTGCCTGTGGTCTGCGGAGGCTGTGGTACCTCCAGGCTCGTAGGAGACACAGATGCTAGTCTAGGCGCGCTACACGACATATCTTGACGGGTGTGAGTTTTCCTCCTCCGCCAAAATATCGATGCGGAGTCATTTGGATCTGATTTATCTGAAAGCTTGAGGGAACAGCTTGCCGTCCCTCTCTGAAGATCAGCGTCACCAGTGGTGTCGAGAGTTGCATCACCACTCCACTCGCCAGTGTTTGTGCCGTCGCTAATGTTTTCCAGAGGTCAATTCGGAACGTTTACTCTCCCTTTTTGTGGTCCACTTCCGATGTTATTTGACACCAATTACCTTTGTCATTTTAACGAGAGAAAGCAGGTCGTCACGAGCCGATGGCAGACGCCGGTCGCCGTTTTTGTCTCATAGCACACTACAGTGCGTCGCATTGGCGTTGGAAGAAGGAACTCTACCTCATCCTCGGCTACCTATCATACCTACATCTTGCTATCAAAAATAGTCGTTATAATTCGTGGTAGTTCTGTGGCGATGTCCTTGTCATCGTGTCATCATTTTCCTAGAGGTAAGCCGCGTGTCTGGGACTTATTTTCCTCCGAAATATCGCGTTCCGATGTGTGCGCCTCCTTTTCCTTAATCGTGTTTGGCGTAACAACTGCTCTGTAAGTAGTTAAAATGTACTGCTTTGAATGTCCTTGTTCTTAGATAGCAAGGTATTTTATGCGCCAATAAACAGTCGAAGCTGTTAACTTTTATCGTCCCTTCTCCCCTCTCAATTTGGTTCTGAGCCCAGCTTTGAGACGCCACTCTGCCCACATAACGGCCTCCCCTGCACCTACTGCCCTGCCTGCGATGCCGCTGGACCTTGGTCGGCGGCTGTTTTTGCAGTGGACCTCAGTCGCCGGCCGGGGTGCTGCGCGGCGCCGCGACTGGACCGTCGCCCCACCTCCGCCGCGCCTCCCCGCCCCTCCTGCGACAATTACAGCCGGAAGGGCGCCGACCGGCCTTCGCAGCTCATCGTTAACGGTCGGCCAGTGACGGCTGCGACGGTGGCCGTTTAATGACGTCACTGGAGGACAGGTGACGTCACCGGTGGCCGGCTGCGTGGTGATGAATAGGGACATACCGGCGTATAGCTGGACCGTGTCAATGCGTGACGTTATGACGGGCCGACTGGCGGGTGGCAAGGCCGGGTCGGTAACCCTGCGGCCCGGCCACGAATAGCCTCCATTACACAGCGTCTGACATGGCGACTTCCTGTTGTTGCAGGCACATACCCAAGCCGAAGGCGACGACCGTTGCGGAGACTCCCGAGCTGGCCAGGATCGCCGAGAACACCAAAATCCAGAGCAATGTGAGTGGGGCTACCGTCCCCGACATTACTCTGCGGATCCGTCTGGAGATGGAGACTGCCAGCAATATGGGAGCGTGGGCTTTTTTTAACAACAAGGTGCAAGCAGGGGAATGTGGGATGGGCTTTGGGGCAGCGGTGGCTGGGCTTTGGGGCAGCGGTGACACATGGCAAACGTGCACCGAATGTCGATTGCCAAACTCAGGGTGCAAAGACGGGACGGGGGTCAAAGACAATGCAGGACATAGTTCGGGCTGGATAGAATAATTTGGGTGGGACAGAACAGGTGTCTGATAGGACAGGCCAACCTAGACAGTGTAAATCTTGGAGAGGACGATATGAATTTGAGGTGGTGCATGAGTTCGGGCGGGCCAGGAAACGATGGATCTCGGGCATTCACTGTCGGTGACCTGGTAAGAGTCTTACTGAGCTGAGGTCGCTGTGGTAGGGGTTTTTACTAGATATCTGTTAGGGTACCCAGCGCGGCTGCCGAGTGGCATGGTATGAACTGGCCTTGTGTTTGGCACGTGGCATGTGGCTCTAGGTGAGCAGCCTTCACGAGGAAAAACTCGACCTCGGCAGCGCATGGGTCGACTAAAGGGAGAGTGAAGGGATCAGCACCTCTCCCGTCTCTGCTAACCCACGGGGCTGGGGCCGGACCAACTCCGTGACTGGAATGGGTATGTGGGTCAGCACCGACCGCCTGAGGTGGGTACTGTTTATAGGGTCAGGTGGGACAGTGCTGACCACTGCAGTGGCACTGTAGGTCACACTGCACTGGATAACAGTACAGTGGAATACTGGAATAACATAACGTCTGCTGATGATGTTGAGCTGAGAAATGGGAGCTCTTTGAAGTCCAGCTCCTTTGATCTGACCCACCGTATTCCTGGAAGCGGTATGCTATATTTTAACTAGGAATCTGGGGCGTTCCATTTCTCAGTGTGCCCAGCAGCAGCGCCCACTGCCTCGGTAGCTACTGACTCCTTCTGCACCCCCGTCCGCCCGTCCAGTCGTAGCGCTGGGTCAGGCTGGGGCGCACCTTCCCGTCCGGCCCGGCTCGGCGGCTGGCGGCACACCGGGCCACTCCGCTGCACCGAGGGAGGGAGGGGCTCCACCGCATTCCACCGATCCGTGATACATACAACACTGCACTGCTGCGGTCATGTCCTCCGCCCAGCTGACGTGTACGTTGTCGCCGTCCTATTTCGAGCTCCGGCGTTTGGACAGTGACCGGAATTGTGAGATTTTTAGATCCAATGGTTGCCCTCGGGGCCGAAAATTTATGTCACAATGGACCGATTTTGTGGGCTAAATGTGATCAAACGATAACGTTAGCTTGTAAGGCTCTGGCTGTTGGGTTGTGGTTAAATGGTTTTATGGTTTTATAGTTTTGTGATTTTCGGTCACGCCGGCGGTTCTTGGCGTTTTGAACCGTGGCCAGAGACCAGCGAGAGTTGCCGCCTGTGGAATGCGTGCGCAGGCTCGGTTTCTCTTTTATTTGTAGGTACATCAATGACAGTCGTTTTCGTTTCTGATCGATCTTAGCGTATTGTCGCGTCCGTGATAATGCTAGTAAAACTTGGCCATATGATCTGACTTACTCGTACTTCGCTTTTATTTCCAAAGCAACCAATGTCAATAGAAATCTGCTGCCAGCATTATTATGCTGAATTGGCGGGAAAATAATTCAATTGAAAAGCAGGTAATAAGCTCCATCACATTCGTAGGACTCAATAGCTATCTGATAAATTTGATTGAACGATTAATGAGACAAAGCATCTCCAATCTCCATCCAGGCTAGTTCTTATGAATTTTACTGTTGTTTAGTTCTTACACCAGTGCTGCACCTCTCGTAATGCAGAGGCACGCTGCCACTCGCGGGTTGACCGCCTCGTGTGCACCTCTAACCGGTCGTTCTCTGGGCTGTGCCGGAGCACGCAGGCCATCCGGGGCCGGGGCCGGAGCCGTATCAGCCGTATCGGGCCGTCGGCCGGCCGGTCAGCGGCGCGCCGCTCCGTTCTCCTTATACGGTCAGCGGCGGCGCTCGTCCCGGCCGCGCCGCCTGCCGCGGTTGCGTGACTCCCTCCGCTGGCTGCGGCCGGTGACACAGTCGGGTCCGGGCAACCGACTGTCAATGGCGTGCCGCCGGCAGACAGGACCGGGAATCTGGCTGGCAGCCGTTAGAGGACCCGGGGAACACGGGACCGACACGACTGAGGCACTGGACTGGGGAACGGGGAGACAGCAAACGGGTCCCGATGTGGTTGCCGATTACCGATGCATTGCATGATCGGTGAAGTCAAATTCATCATCACAGGCTTTCTATGCAGTACTGCGGTAGTCCCATATGGGGTTCTTCTTCCCGCTGAATGGGCCTCCTGTCCCGTGCCCACCATTCGTTCTCGGGAGCTTGCGCGCCCCGTCCATCCCTCCACCTCGACCCTCGTCCGCCCTCTGCCTCGGCACCGGGCGGGCCCTGTGCCAGTGTCGGCCCCCGCTCCGATCTGGAGCAGCCGAAACCGAGTGTCGCTGCGGCATGGCCCACCCGTCCGCCGAAACCGAGTGTCACTGCGGCGCTGCCCACCCGTCCGCCGGAGAAACTGGCCTGCGTTGGACGGTCTCCGCGGACGCCAGGCGGCGAGCGCCGGCGGCGGTTTCACCTGTCGCCGACAGGTGTTAGCTCCCGGTATGAGCCGGCCGGATGTCTGGATAATGGCCCCGCGCCGGCCGGCTGAGGGCCTCGCTGCCGTGTGGTGGAACTGGTGACAGTGGCCTGGCCGATCCGTGGCCTTGCGCGGCCTCCGCGACTCTCGGCGGCCTTGTCACAGACCCGGCGCCGCTGCGGCTCTCTCGCTGTCGCTAGTTAGATCCGTTGACGTCATAGCTGCGGTTTGATGACGTCACAGTTCCGGAGCGGTGACCCAGTGTGGGCTGCTGAGCTAGTTGGCGTTGTTCGAACATCAGGGCTGGCTGGGTCGTGGGTATACTGTGGGCCGTACTGCGAATGTTTTAGTGACAGTCTGTCGTTATCACTACCCATCTATTTTGCGTCGTGCCGGGGAGTTGGTGGGAGGGAGGGCAAGACTCGGCGTGACGGGTCTCTGAATGGGCTATGATGGCAGTGTTTGTAATTAGGGCGCTCTTCATGTGGGTTTTATCCATATGGTTGGCTTCAACATTACGGGCAGTGACCACGTTATGAGCAGTCATAATTATGGACGGTCTCCGTCTTCATAAACTGAAAAGTGTCTGCCCTCTCAGTCTCATCCGTTGAGTTTGTGTGTGGTCGGTGGCTACTATCCAGTGGTCGGCCTTCCAATGGTCCAAGCATTGCTTGCTTTAATAACTACCTTGTACGGCTCTCTCAGTCTCATCCAAACCAACACGAATGGTTGACCGTTCACGTTGACTTGAAATCTCTCCCCAGTGTTCCGGGTAAAAGCTGCACCGGTTTGTGACACGAACACGCCCCTCGGCACTGCCCTCCGGAGCGCCACGCGCGCTGCGATCGCCGCTGATATGCTGATGAGCTCCGTGAGCTGTGTTTGTTGCCCGATTCAGCGCCCCGGCTGTCGGCCAAGGTTGCCCCTCTCACACCGACCCGCTCGGCCAAGCCCCCTGCTCGCCAGGGCCGAGGGTCGGGTCCGCTGCCGCCGCTGCTCACAAAGTGTAAACACCGACAGTGCTCTCCGTCCACATATGCCCGGCCGCTCTGTATACAAACCCCGTTGCAGCAGTGCACACAGGTGGCTTTGGAGTCCTTCCAGAGCCCAGCTGACTTAACCTCCCAAAGCCTCAACGATGGACTTCGCAGATCACTGGCTATCAGCTCCATGACTCTCCAATGTGTCCTGGTCAATGCGAAGTGAAGTGAACCGTCAAGTGAAGACCTCAGGCGTTATCGCGATGGCCGTCTTGCGGCCCATATCCCATTTGCGGTCGTATTACACCACATCACACCTCCAAGGCTCGAACAATCAGCGTCCCCTCCATTCCGATTCCATTGGCGCTCGCCGGCGGCCGATCCGCCGCCCCGATTGCCCTGGAAATGGCCGTCTTTGGTGCCGCAGTGGCTCGGCTCGGACGCCAGGGCGCCGTGAGACGCCACCCTGACACGTGAACCTGACACCGGCGCCGGGTGAACTGCCGGTGGGCTGGCTCGGGTCGGGCCGGATTCCTGTGGGTCTGTCGGCTGGCCTGTTGTCGGATATCGCTGCATTACCTGGGCAGACGCCCGGCTCGGCGAATGAGCGCCGTGTTTGGTATCGCTGTGTGACGCTGGGCGTGATCATCGGTGATCGTCAATGATTTCCCCGATCAGAACATACAAATGAGGATAGGGTTTATTTGTTGACAATAGATGTATAAGTTACTTCACCACTTGAATGTAAGGCACATACTGCAGAGACCTATATCCAGCTGACGGCTTGGGTCGAGTCGCCTGTGGCTCACCGAGATGCCACTGCCGGACGTCGGCGGTCGAGCCGCCACGGATGCTGCTTCTGATGCAACTCCATCCCGGCTTCCGCCGGCGGTACATGGCCGATAGGACGCCCACCGAGCTGGGAAGGGTGGGGGGACAGTTGGGGAGTGTCTCCGCCGTCCGCTGAGCTGGCTGGACGGTCGGAGTGTGAATCTGACGGTGATTCATCCGTGCCCACTCCTCAGTCGGGTGCTGCATTGCGAAGAATGGTGTTTCATGCATCGACATTTGTAATGGCAAGCCTGTGGAAACAGCTAAATTAATAGCTATCTAGAACAATTATATTCAATTTGGCCATGGCCTTATCGTGATAGAGGCGAATGCGTATCGCAAGATGAATAATGTCTGACATATATTTTACGTTGTTATATTCCTTCAAACCCCCTCATTTTGCCCCCGTTATTAAAGCAAGCAATGCTTGGACCATTGGAAGGCCGACCACTGGATAGTAGCCACCGACCACACACAAACTCAACGGATGAGACTGAGAGGGCAGACACTTTTCAGTTTATGAAGACGGAGACCGTCCATAATTATGACTGCTCATAACGTGGTCACTGCCCGGAGCATTGCTTGCTTTAATAACTACCTTGTACGGCTCTCTCAGTCTCATCCAAACCAACACGAATGGTTGACCGTTCACGTTGACTTGAAATCTCTCCCCAGTGTTCCGGGTAAAAGCTGCACCGGTTTGTGACACGAACACGCCCCTCGGCACTGCCCTCCGGAGCGCCACGCGCGCTGCGATCGCCGCTGATATGCTGATGAGCTCCGTGAGCTGTGTTTGTTGCCCGATTCAGCGCCCCGGCTGTCGGCCAAGGTTGCCCCTCTCACACCGACCCGCTCGGCCAAGCCCCCTGCTCGCCAGGGCCGAGGGTCGGGTCCGCTGCCGCCGCTGCTCACAAAGTGTAAACACCGACAGTGCTCTCCGTCCACATATGCCCGGCCGCTCTGTATACAAACCCCGTTGCAGCAGTGCACACAGGTGGCTTTGGAGTCCTTCCAGAGCCCAGCTGACTTAACCTCCCAAAGCCTCAACGATGGACTTCGCAGATCACTGGCTATCAGCTCCATGACTCTCCAATGTGTCCTGGTCAATGCGAAGTGAAGTGAACCGTCAAGTGAAGACCTCAGGCGTTATCGCGATGGCCGTCTTGCGGCCCATATCCCATTTGCGGTCGTATTACACCACATCACACCTCCAAGGCTCGAACAATCAGCGTCCCCTCCATTCCGATTCCATTGGCGCTCGCCGGCGGCCGATCCGCCGCCCCGATTGCCCTGGAAATGGCCGTCTTTGGTGCCGCAGTGGCTCGGCTCGGACGCCAGGGCGCCGTGAGACGCCACCCTGACACGTGAACCTGACACCGGCGCCGGGTGAACTGCCGGTGGGCTGGCTCGGGTCGGGCCGGATTCCTGTGGGTCTGTCGGCTGGCCTGTTGTCGGATATCGCTGCATTACCTGGGCAGACGCCCGGCTCGGCGAATGAGCGCCGTGTTTGGTATCGCTGTGTGACGCTGGGCGTGATCATCGGTGATCGTCAATGATTTCCCCGATCAGAACATACAAATGAGGATAGGGTTTATTTGTTGACAATAGATGTATAAGTTACTTCACCACTTGAATGTAAGGCACATACTGCAGAGACCTATATCCAGCTGACGGCTTGGGTCGAGTCGCCTGTGGCTCACCGAGATGCCACTGCCGGACGTCGGCGGTCGAGCCGCCACGGATGCTGCTTCTGATGCAACTCCATCCCGGCTTCCGCCGGCGGTACATGGCCGATAGGACGCCCACCGAGCTGGGAAGGGTGGGGGGACAGTTGGGGAGTGTCTCCGCCGTCCGCTGAGCTGGCTGGACGGTCGGAGTGTGAATCTGACGGTGATTCATCCGTGCCCACTCCTCAGTCGGGTGCTGCATTGCGAAGAATGGTGTTTCATGCATCGACATTTGTAATGGCAAGCCTGTGGAAACAGCTAAATTAATAGCTATCTAGAACAATTATATTCAATTTGGCCATGGCCTTATCGTGATAGAGGCGAATGCGTATCGCAAGATGAATAATGTCTGACATATATTTTACGTTGTTATATTCCTTCAAACCCCCTCATTTTGCCCCCTCTCACACCCTTTTTTTCCGTTCCGACCGGCTGTCTTCACTCCACATGCCGACCCACCCACCCGTCCGCGTGCTGTGGTTCACACGTCACTGAGCTACCTCGCTGCCAGCTGTAGATACCGCGCTCCCAGTCTCCCTCAGAGCTGGGGGCGGCTCCTCTGGCCAACCGCGCCAGGCCGGCCCCGGCTGGCTGCTGGCACGCGCCCGGCCGAAAGAGAAAGTGGCCGGGCCGGGCGGTGAGCGGCGGCGGCTCGACGGTCCGACTCGACGGCCGCTCTCCGTCGGCTCGCCCACCGGCCCGGAAGAGCGGCCCGCCCCGATCCGAACGGCTCTGACTCATCGCCAGCGGCCCGGTCAGCCGCCGTGGACGGGTATTTTTGCGACCGCCGGCGTGCTGGCAGTTGGCACGCGCCCGCTGGGCGGCGTGGCCGATCCGCTCCCCGGCGGCTGTTCCCCGGCGGTTCGCCCACCTACGGGCCCGGCCGGAGCCGCCGGCAGCCGCGGCCGGCACCGTATATGGCCGCAGCCGAGCCACTCTCACTCCCACTCTCACTCTCACTCTGTGCACGGCGTGCCTGGCGGCTCCATGGCAGTGCAGGGGATGATTGGACATGGACACGCCGCGCCGGCATTGCTGCTCGGAGGTCACTGGGGTCGCAGAGGTCACATGCGGGTAGATTGCTTTAGGCTGTCAGGGCTCATGTGGTGATGACGAAAACTTATGCTCATTTACGCTTGAATGGGACGTTGAAGGAACGGGCAGTTCGGACCTACAGATGTTTTGCACTCAGATGCTGAGATCCGAACTTCCCTTGGTTGAGTTAGCAGGCATGGAAAGGCGTTTGGCGGAGACATACCAGATCGTATGACAGAGGCTGACTATGGTGGGCGGGACAAGATGATGTGTTGGGGCGTAAGGCAGAGTGACTTACAGAAGCATGGTGCGCTATGACTTCGCGTGTGACTGTGACTCGTACAGTCATGGTGTGACTGTTACTTTACAGTTGGGGGCGTCACTTGCGTGAGTCATGCCTCGCTGACCAGCCCCTCAGCTTCCTCTGAGGCGCGAGTTGATTTTGTCTGCCGCAGTGGTCGATACGGCCTTTGTCCGTCGGTGCACACGCACGCACCGTTCCGCGCTTCGCAGCGACCCTGAGCGCTGCGGCTGAGCCGAGGAGCGCTGCCGTCTGCCGGCACGATACGACACGACTGCGTGCGTGTAGAGAGGATACAGCGGGATGGTAGGCATTATAAAGGTTCATTCTTACACCAATGATGATCAGATGCCCGTGGGAAGTGGCGTTCGTATACCCGAGGAGTGGAACGCGTAGATTTCGTTTGTATACCGTGGACTGTCGTTTGTGGTTAGGACTGACTGTATATCACGGTCTCTGAAGTCTGGAAATAATCGGTGGCAGTAGGGGTCGGTTTATGTGTGAAAGGAACCTAGTGAATTCCGGGCCTGGGACGTGTCTGAACCAGCGATCTGCATACAACGTTCGATGGCGTTTGTTTCCTACAAAGTGCTGCAAGAGCGGGCGTGGCAGGGCCCGGGCGGACGCCGGAGTCTGCTGGCGGTGGGGTGGGTCTGCTGCCAGCCAGTGAATGTGCTCCGGTGTCTGGGCCGTTGTTCAGGTGTCTGGCGCGGGGGCCGGGGGCTGGCCCGCCCCGTTAGGTGTCCGTTTACTCGGGTGGGAGGGATGGGGCGCGGGGCCGGGATGGAGGGTGATCAGTGGGGTCTCGACTCTCGAGTGATGCTGCGCTGATGGGTGGGGTGATGCGATATTAACCTCTAACCGTTAACCAGCCACAGCCATCACTATTGTATTGTCTTGTATTGAACAATCATGAACGATCCACATTCTCAAATTGCGTGAAAACTGACATGCCACAGCGCGTTACTGTTTGTCATCTGTCCACACTGGGATTGTTGATAAGCTCGGACCAGCTCAAACACATAGCTCAGACGCGTTTCCCGGTAGTGCTCCCTGTAACGATGATTCACCCTGCGCGCGCGGACAAACAATGTGCAGCTCCGGCAGCCCCCCCCGCCGTGACTGCGCCGCCAGCTCAACATCTAACCACTGAGTGAGTGTGTGTGTGTGGGGGGGGGGGGGGGGAGGTGGCGCGCCGCGGACACCTCACCCCGTCCTAGACGCGCTCGGCGGTCGCAGAGCGTCTCATTTGATTCGCAAACGAGTTGGCCGCGCGGCCGCCGTATTTGGTGCATACCGATGGTGGCGCAGCAGAGGGCCCGCCGCTGGGTGCCGCGCTGAGGGGCCTTCAGGACGGCCGCGGAGAGGTGTCCTTAACCGAGCTACCGGCCCCACTCAGGGACGGCGGACAGTGGCGAAACTGCTGGGTATATCATGCATGTGATTGTGCGCGTTTGTACTGCTGAAGGGGACAGGAGCTACGCTGTGCACGAGTAAAATAACCATGCAGATTGCGCACCGGAAGATGACCGCAGAATAACAGATTAGGTGCTATTGTGTCATTGTTTTTGTGTTGTTATCTGAGAGACCATGATTCACATCTAAATATGCAACCTCTTGTTGTCACGTTTTCTCTTTATTGTTCTAAGATCTTTTGCTTGTGTTTGATACCATGACTGTCACACTGATACCGCCTCACCCTTTAAGTGTTCGCTGACTCGCACCTTTGTATTCGCCAGGTCAAATACCATGCCGAGTTCGAGGCTGCCAAGGGGAAATTCACGACGGTGGCAGACGACCCAGAGACGCTACGTATCAAACAAAACACCAAGATCATCAGGTATTTACAGCCACCCACTCTCACGGGCCGCTTCTAGCGACTTTCGTTTTACTCCTTCCCCATCGCTGCGTCTGCGTGTCGTGTCATTACTGGAAAGTGAAATGTGTTTACTCATCATTGATTGATAAACATTAAAAGGTCACTGGTTTCCGTTTCCTACCGTCATGGCTGCTGCCAACTCTGATGGATATTACCACTGTTTGACCAGTCATTAGTCCGCCTTCTGTCTGGCGCCGGCTGCCGATACCGCTCCCAGCGGGGCTGATATTATCGTAGGCGCTATCGTCAACATTGGTGTGGCCCTATTCCAGGCGGGTGTGCCGCTGGCAGCGCCCCCCGCTCGCCCCGTTAGTACGCGAACACAGAGAGTCGGGTTACCGGCCCTGGCACACCGGGGCAGACCGCTCGCCGGCCGCCAGTCCAGGCCGCTGCCTCCGAATATGTTCAGGGTCTCTGGCTGTGGCTAGTCGATTTTTAACAGCAGTTGGTGTGTATGTGACAGAGCGTCACCTTTATGATGGCATGCCAGTTGAGATTAGGAGACAGTCATTCATGCGATCTACGCCGGACTTCTGTGTGATTCGTTCCAATATTTGTTTGACTCCTGTGTGAGTGACCTCTGTATGATTCGTGCGGGACCTCTTAGACCTCATGACCCTTTTCTCTCAGTGACGCCCCCTACCACGGAGAGCTGTGTGGCCTCTGTATGACCTTGATGACCCTTTGCCGACAGTAACGCCGCCTACCACGGAGAGCTGGAGAAGAAGGCCGACATGGACCAGCGGCGGCACCTGACCGGACAGAACGGAGACGCAGGTAGATACCGGTTCTCTCACAACAGTCGGCTGGCGCGCAAGTTAAACACGCTCAACGCTTACCTGACGCGAGGCCAGGACGAGATTCTGGCCATGGCCGAGCGGGCCAAACGCAAACGCGAGGCGGCGAGAGCGGAGCGTGAGGTCGAGCTGGAGCCGGGGGCCGAGCCGGGGACGGAGTCAGGGCCGGGGACAGGGGTGGAGGGGGCGACTGGGCGGCGACGGCGGCTGAAGGCGCGCAGAGAGGACGGTCTGAAGCGCTGGACGCTCGGTGTGGCCAAACGTAGTCTGGTGGGCGAGCTGACGGAGAGCGTCGCCTCCCGTCTGGAGACCATGTCACTGGACGACTGGAAGGCCAGCCGATGTAACGCGGCGCGCGTCCGCGAGACCTGGCAGCGCATCCAGGCGCAGGAGCGGCGCCGGCGTCCGACTGCGCGGCCGCGGCGCCGGCTCACCATCCAGGACTGCACTGAGGAGACGGCCGAGCCGGACCGGGTCAGCTACCGGCGGCACGTCATCCAGGACCTGGACGGCGTCACCCAGCGCCAGGTGATGCTGCGGGAGGCGCGCCGCGCCGGCGGCGCCGCGCTCGACCGCCGGCAGCTGAGCAGTCTGCTCACATACGGCGAGGCAGGCGCCACAGTCAGTGAGAGCATCAGCGTGACGGACACGCGGCTGGAGCGGCAGGACGGTCGCCGCCACCAGCTCGAGAGGGTCGAGCTGGTGCGACTGACTACCGTGGACGGTGACCGGGCGCGGCCTGATCCCGAACAGGCTGATACCGCCCGGCCGCCGCCGGGCAGACTCCAAATGCCGAACTGGGGAACTGGGGAGGACGGGCCGGACGGTCCGCGGCGGCGGAGGGGATGTAGGCTACCGAACGGGGATGCTGGGGAGGCTGGGGAGTCGGAGGGGAAGATGGGAGGCGGCCTCACCTGGCGTGCCGCGAATGGGATGCACCTCGGGGATTATCCTGGGGAGGTGGACGGGGAGTGGGATGAGACAGGTGGGGTGGATGGGGTGCGTCGGGTCGGGGATATGCCGTCCGACGCCGCTGAGTTTGGGAATGGGGAGTGGGAGGAGTCAATGGGTGGGGAGGAGAACCGGGGCGGGAGCCGGGCCGGGAGGAACGGAGTCCGCCACGGCGCCGCAGCTCGCCGCCGAAAGTTCACGCGCACCCACAGTGACGCTCTATTGGAGGACGTGGATCAGGTGCAGCGCGGCGTGCCCCGCCCTGGGGAGGACGAGGACACTACCTCTGAGGCGCAGCGGCGCAGTGCGCAGCGCGAGCGACTCCTGCGCCGGATGCAGAGCAAGTACGGCATCGGCGCCCACCTGTTAGAGGAGGAGGAGGAGCAGGAGCTGGACACGGAGGACGAGGCCGAGGAGCTGGCCGAGGACGGGCCCGAGGAGCAGCTGCGGCCCGTGTTCGACTACCCGCAGCTGGCCGGACCGCACCCGTGCGGCGCCTGTCTCGATGAGATACTGTCCGCCACCGCCGGCTGCCCGGACGGCCAGCAGCTGCTGCCCCTGCTGCTGGGTGTGTTCGGGTCGCGGCGAAACCACGTCATCTTCAGCTTTGATGACGATGACTTATGGGACGGGGAGGAGGAGGAATTGACAGAACCCGACTGAGGGGAGGGATAGAAGGAGGGAGGGTTTGGTCCACTGGCTCGACTCGGCTCGCTCCGCTCTCGCTCGCTCGCTCGCGTTTCCCGCCCGGCCCACGGCGTGTCTCCGCGGGTCCGAGCGCTGGCTCGGCGACCGCCGCCTCATCCTGACCGCTAGCTGCGGCTCTTGCTCCCGTGATGTGCTCTTTCACTCTCTGTGCGCCTGGGGGTGGTGGTGGATCCTGCTAATACGGTGCTCTAAGGTCTTCTCTGGTGACGCTTGTCTCTTGCTGTATCTTTGAGGTCATCTTTCTAGCTGTGTGGGGCGTGGTGCTGTACTATTCGCTTTTCTTTCTCTATCCTGTCGCGCATGTAACTTTCGGCAGGGACGAAGGCTGTGTTGCGGACAGTCCGACGGAGTGTCTGTATGTTACGGACGGTCCGATGGGTGTCTGTATGTTACGGACGGTCCGGTGGGTGTCGGGTTGTGTTGGGTAACAGGACGGCACGTTTATATGTGTCTGTGTGCCTTGGTCCTGCGCTGTGTCCGGTCCTCTGACCGACTGACGGCCTGTGATAGTGGGGTCCGCTGCCGACCGCGGCTGGGGCTGAGAGCGCCCGCCGCGCTGCCCGGCTCGTGCCTGAGGCCCCCGCTCTGTTCTAGCGGCCCGCCTGTGCGGCGCGTGAGAGACGCAGAGGTAAATGGCCGCTGTCGGCCGCTCGGTGTTTGCCATGTGCCGCCGCTGGGCTGACGGGGACGGTGCCAATATAGCCTGTAGGCCGCCGCCGCTTCTGAATGCCCCGTACTAGCGTGTCTCGGCCGGGCCGGTCGCCTCCGGTCCCGAGCCGCGGCGCAGACTAGATGCTTCCTAGAGGGTCGGCCGGCGGCTGTGAGCAGTGCGCTCCGGTGACGGCTCTCCTATTGGCTGGTTGGTATCTGGCATGTGCTTCTTTTGGCGTATGAGCTGGCGCGCCAGTCTGTTGCCGTGCTAGAGCTCCCCCCTTTTATTATTTCATGACCGCGTAGAGCGTGTTTCTGCTAGTGATTGCTTCTCTACGGTGTGGGTTGATGTTAGGACTGTAGCGAAGCTTTATTTCGTATGTCTCCGTCTGCCCCGGCTTGTCTCCTCAGTTTCCCAGTTCCTGGTTTGGTGGTGCATCCCTCTATTTCCTGTAGTGATCCGGCGTCCTGTCATCAGCGTTGTTTATTGCTGTGTGCTGTGCTTACATTTTTTTTTTAACCGATCAGGAGTCACACAAGATCGGAGTTTAACACTTTAAAATGCTTACACGACAGTTAGCATGTAGAACTAAAACCGTAATTGTAGATTGACCTCTGGGCTAACCGTTGATGTAGTGTTGTTTTCTGGCTGCCTTCGCTTGCGGGTCGTTCTGAGCGGCTCCCGCCCGCCGCGGCTGTCTGTGAGCTGTCTGCTGTGCCGTCCCCGCTCGGTGTGCTGTCTCTGTGTGTGCGTGTCTGGCCTGACGGCTCTCCGGCTCGCCGCCCCGTGTGTGCCCTGCAGCCTCTGCCCAGCCGGCCGGCTCGCAGGCCGTCCCGCGCCAGGAGCGGCCCCCCGCCGCCGCCGCCGCCGCCCCCGCCCCCGCCAGCCACCACCACCCGCAAATGGCGCGGCTGGGCAACAACAACTATGGCGGCGGTGGCGGCGGCGGCGGTGGCGGCGGCGGTTTGGGAATGGGTGCGTCACCGCACTCGGCCCGCACAGCCCAGGCGTCGACGGTGATCTATACATCGGAGCACGGCGCAGGTAGGCTGACGGAGGGCGACAGACGCTGAGACAACGGGCAGGGACTGGTCGGCTCCACCACAGGGGCAGCCTCTGATGGGGGTTAATCGTCAGTATATCATCGAATTCTGGTATTGGTGGGTCGGAGTGGAGCCAGCCTGCGGTGCGGGCGGGCAGGTTTGATCGGGTGTCACAGAGCGCCAGGTAAGTCGGTCAGACTGGGAGCACTGGGCGAACGGTATCTCGCAGGTGAGAGAATGTGACTAGTCGTCGTCCGAATCCTCCGCTGACCTGCCTGGCAACATTTATACTCTAACCTCATGTTCAATATAAACTCATTGTGCTGCTGCACAATTAAAGGCAAACGTCGCCGCCTACAAACCTTCTAAACGTTTTAAAAGTATTGCTGTACTAGTATCTTTATCTAATCCTGGCCGCCCTTCTCCAGCGCCGGAGATGTGGTATAACCGTGGCTGATGCCGTTCGCAGTGGCTCGGATCACCTGATGTCCTCCCCATCCCTCGGCGCTCTGCTCCCTCCACCCGTCCTCCTGCGCTCCCTGCCGTCCCGCCGGACTGGCTCACTCTCCGGTCAGTGGAGCCTGGACTCTCAGCTGCGGCGCAGTCGGCTGACGGACCAGTGTTGTGTTACAGAGCCGCGCCCCGAGGTGGAGTATCTGATCTGGCCAGACCTGGTGCGGCCCACAGGTGCGTCTGGCCGCGGTGCCGGCCGGCCGTGTGAGGTGTTCCACTGACCACCCGTGTGACCGGGTTTGACCGGAGGGTGACTGACACGGGACACACGGCTCCGCCGGCCGCTGAACGGACTCAGAGCGGAGACTAACCTCTCTAACGGGCGCCGCGCCGCCCCCTTGAACTGGGACGTCACGGGGGCGCCGGGTGTCCACAGCGAACGCCGCGTCACTGCGTCCCTGTCGACGCCCAGCCGTGTTATTTTGTGTGTTATACCTGCTGATTTTACACAGTTGTGTTTTGTTGACCCCATCATCATGGATTTCACCAAACAGGACTTGGATATCGTTCCCAACTAATCATGTTTTTTTCGTCTTTTTTTGCTTACGTGCGGACATATTTATGTGAAAATGTTAATGTGAACATTCCCTTTATTTTCAGCGATTATTTGTCTTTCTTATTTGTAGTTTCGATGCGTTATTTCAACACTTACCAGCTTTTCCTAATGCTTGCATTTCCAGTAACTGCTTTTCCTCCGCTAAATGTGTGTGACCAGTGCTGCTCATGGTAAATGTGGTTTGTGATCCGTTTACTCATTGCGTTGAACCGATCTTGCCTAGAAAATCTCGGCACTCTGCATTCTAAGCAATCAGTAGTCTGAGCAATTTACAATAGCCACCGATCAGCAAAGTAGCATAGACAATTGCTCATCATCGCGGTTTCTGCTGAGGGTTTGTTACGTCACCATTGCTGTCTTTCTAATCTCTATCCGTCATTTTTTGGTTAGTCTGTGTTTTCCTTGTCCACCAGCTCCTGCTCGTCTCTCACCCATCTACTTCTGCCTGTCCTCTCTGTCTATCGTCTTCCGGCTTTCCTGTCCGCCCTCCCCCGCTCGTGCTCTCCCTGCAGTTGTCCTGTCACTCTCCTACGACCAGCCGGTCCGTTCCATACTGCTGCTATCTGACGGTCCTCGCCGCTGGTCGTCAGTCTCCGCCATTCTCTAATGGTTCCCACCCCTCTCTAGTGCTTCCCGCCTCTCTCTGGTGGTCCCCTCCTCTCTGATGGTCCTCACCGCTCTCTGACGGTCACCGCTGATCTCTGACGGTCCTCGCCGTTCTCTAATAGTTCCCGCCCCTCTCTGAGTGTCTCTCTCTGACGGTCCCCGCCGCTCGGTCCCCAGTGAACGCGGCGCCCACACAGAAGGTGGGCTCCATCCGCGACTACGACCCTCTCAACGAGCAGTACGGCTCTGTGGCTCAGGCGGCGCGCTACGGGCAGCCGCAGCAGCAGGCGCCGCCGCCCCAGCAGCACTACCAGCCGCCGCCGCAGCAGCAGCAGCCGTACGGCGGGTACCAGCACCACCACCAGCAGCAGCCGCCGCAGCAGTACCACCACCACCAGCAGCCGCCGCAGCAGCAGTACGGCGGCTATCAGCAGCAGTACCAGCAGCAGCCTCCGCAGCAGCAGCAGCAGCCGCAGCAGCAGCAGCAGTACGGATACCGACCCGAACAACACGGAGGGTACCGCTCCCAGCAGGTGAGACTTGGAGTGTAGGATCGGCTGAGAGCTTGAGCGAGACTGCCGACATTGGCATTGGCATTGTAATGTGGTTTGTCCTTTTGACATATCTAACATTGAATGCATTTTCTGTTGTTGAGTGATTTATGTGTTTTCGAGGTCTAAAAGGCGTTTATTGTCTCTCATGACTCTTCTATGCATGTAATTGACACGGTTTTAAGCTTTTGATTTAACTTATTTGTGGCGTTGAATGGTCTTGTAACAGTATATTATCAGGCATGTCCGATCCATGGCATGTGATTTGTCGCTCCGTGGACAATTTCTTTCCAAGTGTGCCGCTCTAACCTTGCCCGAGTGTGCCGCCCTAACCATGCTCGAGTGTGCCGCTCTAACCGTGTCCGGATGTGCCGCTCTAACCGTGTCCGGATGTGCCGCCCTAACCGCGCCCGGCCGCCGGACAGACGTACCGGTCGGAGGCGCAGCCGCAGCAACAGCCGCACCACCAGACTCAGCACCATCACCAGCCGCAGCACCACCAGCAGCAGGCGCAGCACCATCACCAGCAGCAGGCGCAGCACCACCACCAACAGCAGGCGCAGCACCACCACCAGCCGCAGGCGCAGCCGCAGAGGGCGCCGCCGGCCGCGTCAGGGGTGAGACGGGCGACTCGGCTTCTGGGGAGTGGGACAGCGGACAGGGTCATCCGCCCTTAGGCTTAGAGGAGATAAACCATATAGGGCTGCGAGCTGCTGGCACCAAACATTGCTTGTGCACGTCGCAGCCCGAGCATGTGTTATGGGTAGAACACAATGCTGCTTTAGACAGTGTGTTGCGATGGGAAGGGACCGGGGCCTGTTTGCCTCTCAGACGGGGTAAGACTCAATGCAGGGTAGGGGGCGATTGGTGTCCTCACCGATGACTCGGAATAGCCTGCCAACCTGGAAATACCGACTCAAGGTCATACGCATCTAGTACACGATAATGCCAGGAACCACTGAGCTATCAAGGCCAGTCACACACGGCGACGGGACTGCAGGAATGCGTGATCGGCACCTGGCGTAGCTACTTGTAATATCCGCGTTGCATGCCAGACGCCGTGCTGGTGCCGCACAGCTGACACGGAAGGCCGGGCCCATCGGCTAATGGCGTGTGTAGCCCTCGCGATAGGTGTAAGACTGCATGCCACCTGTGCCGCGCTGTTTGCGGGCTCTGTCCTCGACCTGCTGGAGATTCTAGGATTGCGTGACAAGGAAGCTGATTTTTGTGCCACTTTCTCACGACCTCCATGCCATATGCGCCTTATCGATTGCATTTGCGACTATATACAAGAATATTTTTGATATTTCAGAAATGTTAATTTTCCTCTAGCTGGATATTTTATTTTTTATGACTAATATTGCCGCATATTTTTGCGATTCATAGAGATCATTCAGGTGGCATACCTTTGGTCATTTTCAGTTTGATCGTGTATGTTATATTGCATTGGTTGAAACTGGGGGACCTTTTTGGGTTGAACATGTAGCGTTGGTGCTGCGCCTCAAGTCTGGTATTCGTAGCACACCCATTACCGACCCACAATCGTCTCTTATTCGCCACACTGACACGTGCTCCGTATTTGCAGCGCTGCTACCGCGCCATGTACGACTACGACGCGGCCGACCACGACGAGATATCGTTCCGCGACGGCGACCTCCTGGTGGCATGTCAGCCGATCGACGACGGCTGGATGACGGGCACCAACCAGCGCACCGGACAGCGCGGCATGCTGCCGGCCAACTACGTCGAACCGGTGGACCTGTGAACGTTGCCGAGGGAGCGGGAGGGAGAGAGACGAGAGAGCGGTGCGGTGGGCGCTGCGGAGAGAGAGAGAGAGGACACCTGGGCCCGCAGAGCTGCGGCCGGGGTGTGTGTGCGTGGGTGGACGGGGGGGGGGGGGTGCGGTGGTACCCCAGTGAGGCGCCCTGCCGGCGCCGGGACCGGGCAGCGCCGTCGGCCCCGTCCCAGCCCGACCGTCCGCAGCCCGCGCGAAATGGATGCTTGTGCGCGTATGCTTGTGCCTTTGTGTATATAGCCCCAGCACGCCAATTCATGTAACAATTTTATTGTTGGATTGGAGGAATTATCTATACATATAAGACGGTAAGCCCAAAAGTGCCTATTGGTGGTTACGCGCTGGTGTTGACGAGTGGCTCCGCGCCTAGGTTCGGCCGCTATGAACTAATACGACGCGAGTTGTGCGCTGTCTGTACGTCTTCTTCTGTCAACTGAACGGAACGGAACGCTTGTGCCTGTTTACCGATGTGAAATGAACTGAAAGCCTAGCTGCCGCGTGTTTTTGTGGGAGCGAGAGGACGGTGTTTTGTACGAATGAGGGGGGGGGGGGGCGTTCGAGAGGGGGTAACACTGCATCGAGTCTATCACCTCTGCAGGGAACACTTGACATGTTATGTCAAGCATATGTGGGTCACGGCCCACGGGACAAGCTACTCTGCGTCTACCGCCTGCAGTCGACCGTTTGAACATGGAGCCGACCGAGCTATCATCGCTGCTACCTCAGCTGTACTCGTTGCGCTCCCATCACCCATGCTCAGTGTGGCATGCATCTGTAAGAAATTCAGGGCTGCGGAGTCGATGGATTTTCGGCGACTCCGACTCCGACTCCGACTCCGGCTCTCAAAAACCAGCTCCAACTCCGACTCCGACTCCGGGCAGCATTGTCGACTCCGACCGACTCCAACTCCCGACTCCGACTCCGCAGACCTAGCAGGGCTGTGGAGTCGACAGATTCTCGGTGACTCCGACTCCGACTCCGGCTCGGGTTTCTAAAATCGACTCCGACTCCGACTCCGGTCACAACTGTCGACTCCGACCGACTCCGACTCCGACTCCGACTCCGACTCCGCAGCCCTGACTAAAAATATTGGTGGCAGGCTAGTGCAAGCAGGGTATATAGAGTGCAAGCATCGCGAGGGACGTCAACGCGCCTGTCACCTGGCCAGACTGTAATATGTGTCGTTACAAAAACAGCAATGTTGCTCGGTTGTTGAGCCAAGTTATACTTCTCGCTTCATCAGGGAATGCACCTGTAGTCCGGTAAAAACGTAATTTATTCATTGCATCGTATGCAAAATAATTTTGCTGCTTTGTCTTCTAACCAGGGAAACGCTAATTGTGGCTCTAAATTACGTATACCGATTTTGAATTAAGTTCTTAGTTGCTGTTAAATAATCTGAAGGCCAGTCTGTGAATTAGGAATATCAGAATCTATATAAAGTGAGGAAAAAGAAGAGTAGATATAGCTTTAGCTAACAAAAATGCATAAAAAGTTCCTAATAGGACCATCTGACGTAATATGTGGGCTAAAATAATATTTTACCGAGCACGAACCGAGCACCAGTTTGAATGTCCTACCTGCGCAAGATATGCCGACAAAACCGCGTGCAAACGTGCAGGCCGCTTGTATACATTTTGTAAGGTAGGTGTAAAATTAAATATTTCTTGGCTTATGCGGCTTACCTTATGGTGATTTCCAGGGCGTGATTTCTTAATTAGTTTTGATGCGAATCAACTGGAATATGGAGCGCAAAATGCAAGGCAAAATGATTCACCCTGACCTTAAATCCCTTCTGAGCTGAGGCACTAAGTTGAAGTTGAAGTCAAAGTGTTTGTGGAATGTGGGATCACGCAAATGACTACCTATATCTTTCAGTTTATTTTTATTTTTTGCCCAGGTGTTTGTATCAACAGATTTAACAACTGGGGCCCAATCTAAGCAGAACTTGTTGGCGTATGTTCAATCCAAGGCTGCATAGTGCACAAACCCAATTCATTCCCAACAATCCCTTCAATCCCAACCACTGGGCCCTTTTTCAGAGCATGTCATTACCTGAGGGCTGTTCACGGGCCCTGTGTGCGGTCGGACCGCACACAGCCTCCAAGCTCCGCCCACTGCATCCCTACGTCAGCCTTCCGTCACCGCACACAGCGAACGCTGTGGCCGGTCGGGACCGGCCACAGAAAACCGTCCACCGCACGCAGCCGTGACGTCAGAGCCGCCTACCCATCCCCTACCCCCACGCCTGCTGGACGCTCCGCACACAGCGCACGCAGCAGTGTGCGGTGCCCGTGAACACCCCTCTGATGTGCACTAGTGGTTGGTTTCTATGAAAGCATCAAACAGCGGTGTGTCGTGAAATCGGGCCATCCACCCTGGAACATAGATGCCTAAGTTAAAAGCATGCTCAACAAAACCAGACATGGCCTGTCCCACGTAACAGGCTTTTGCAACCGATTCAACTGATTGCAGCTGCTCCCACAAACTGATGATCAGATGATGTCCAAAAATCACTGTCAGATTCGATTTACCCTGTGTCACAGATTCTACGGTGTCCGAGAGACATCGAATGCAGGGTTATGCTTTATAGAGTGCTGTGCTGCTGTTCTCTGGATTGCTAACAAACCCATGCTCACTGCTCACAACTGGCCTGGGAGTTCAATGCTCTACTAACTGAGCTATCAGACTTGCAACTAATAATTGACTGCAAATTGCAATTGCTTTCATAATGATGAATGTGAAGATGTGGTTTATTGTATTTGTCTTGACGCTTTTGATATGCTAGGTTATTCACACTTTTGATCAGTACTGTGAAGTGAGCTTTCGATTTGAATAGTTACTAGTTATGAAGGTCTCATTGTTCTAGAATGACAACAGGAGCACCACCTCAGTAGGTACTAGGTGGCCTAGTGTCCTTAGCCTGGAGTATTACAGTTACACAATACTGCTTTATCCTTCCCGACCACTCATTTGACACATTTGGTGTTAACTGCTTGCTTAATTGCATGCTGTCCACAGATTTAAGATATACATTCATTTTGTTCAAGAAAGTCATGCTGTCTTCACTATGCAGAAGAGTTTTGAGACATTTGGTGATCAGATCAAGGGAAGTCAGGGGAGCTTCCTATGCCTTCCCTTCAAGAAAATTTCATCTGAACAACATACCCACTGTCAGACTCAGGTATGTGCTAGCTTTACAGCATTTACACATCTTTGTGATGCCTAAGTTATCTCTAACATTTTCTCTTTCTGTTGTCCAGTCTCTACCAGACTTGTAGGTACCTAATTGGGTATTCTGGTTAATATCAGATTCAGAATTGTTAGAAGATGCCCAGGTAGGATGTGGAGCTTAATCTGAGGTGTTTCTTTGCTTCTGGTCGATAGGACACTGGCGAGTTGCGTCCACTTCAGCACGGCCACGCCACCACTTACAGACAGTGTCAGACCGGAGCAGCAGTCAGTCGAGGAGGTGGTGCGGAGGTTCTCCTCTCGCCAGAGGGACTGGCACTTCAGACCTATCGATAGCTTACTGTCAGCTCTCAAAGACACAGGTATGCATCTTCCTCTGTCGAAGAATATGTGATTTTAATTTGCCATTGGGAAACAGTTGGGAAACAGCACATTCATGGGCGCAAAATGACCTCGCATTCGGCGCGCCCCTAACCCCCAACAAACAAACAAACAGCTTATTCAACTCTATCTTAGATTGGTACTGAAGTGAATATGTATTTCTTATGCTAGCACATGATCGACGATTACGCCCAATATCGAATTTCAGACCCGGAGGACCGCGTAAGGAACTGTTTGTCGATTTTGGGCGCCTTCCGTTCGGTGGCCGGAGGTCGCGGAGCCACCTCAGAACATCTAGAGCAACTCTGGAATCTGGTTACAGAGGAAGGTGAGTATGAGCCACGATGTGATTCTCCGTCATGAGACAGCTTATGCTCCCTTACAGCTGCTTTTATGGATGCATATCAGCGATTTTTTCAGTGATATCGAAAGCTTGCGCGTTTTTTTTACGATGTCTTCAAGATTTTACAAATATTTGGGAAACTACGGCTTTTTGTACGTTAGTTTGCCACCACATCTTATGCATTTTTATCATCTGTTAACAATTTTAGCCTGAGCTCAGTCTCAGACCACTAGCTAATCTTGAGACTCGTGTGTTCACGCGTGTTATTAGCTTCCAATCCACCCTCGGATACCTCACCCTGCTGTCTCTTCACCTGCCCGCTCCGGCAGGCGGGGGTGCGCCGTCCGCGGAGGCCGAGCTGCTGTGGCTGCAACTGTACCGGGACGCGGCGCTGCCGCCGCCGGCGCCTCTGACAGACGCCGTGGCGGCTCGCGCCGAGCCGGAGTCGGTCGGACACCTGGTGCGCTGCCTGTGCGCCGCCGGCCGGCTGGCCGACACTGCGCCACTGCTGGAGCGGCTGCGCGGCGCCGGTCACCAGCCGCCGCTGGACGCCCTGCACGCCGTCATCGTGGCGCACGCCGCCGACGGGTGAGATGGCGGTATGAGGACGGGGAGGGAGCTGCGGGTGCGATTTAAGGGTGTCACCGGTGACGGTGATAACGTTTTCCGTCTATGCCGGTTGACCTGACCAGTGACCCCTATCTACCTCCCCTAGTGACCTGACCCCTGTCTACCTCTCCAAGTGACCTGACCCCTTTCTATCTTTACAAATGACCTGAGGCTGAGCCCGCTTGTGACGCTCGTCCCGTCGGTCTCCACCAGTGACCTGGACACGGCGCGGGACATGGCTCAGGCGCTGCTCCCGGCAGCCTCTGAGGACGACTCAGACCACCAGCTGCTGCTGATGCGAGTCTACATCGCGGCGCGCCGGCCGGGCCCGCTGGCCGCGCTGCTGTCCCGCTGGTACCAGCAGCGCGGACAGCTGACGCTCGGACAGGGCGTGTCGCTGCTGGGACAGCTGGTCAGCAGCGGCCAGCTGGAGCAGCTGCAGCAGGTGAGCCGCTGCATCAGCTGCGGCCGGGGGGATGGTCTCACGGTGAAACCCCTGCAGAAGCCCTATCAACGGTGGTCTTGGGACTGAGCAATTTAAAATCACTGATCAGTGTCAGTAAAATTCTTGTCAATTTGCCGTTTTTACGTGATTCATAACTTTTTGAACATCATGGATATGAAAAAGAAGATACAGAATAAACTCTTTAGGTGTGGACCATCAGTAGTTTTTGAGTGGGCAAAAAAAAAGGCACACTGTGAGGTTAGCGCTGACTATCCGATGGCTGGATCTGACAACTGTAGGCTGCTGTACAGTGTGACCTCTATTTGACCGCTTGGCGCGTGCCGCCGACAGGTGGTGCCGCTGGTGCCGTGGCCGCGCTGGGGCCACCACTGGGGCGGCTGTGTCCGCCTGCAGCGGCGGCTGGTGCGGCTCGGCCAGCACCGCGCCGCGCTGCTGCTGCTCAACACGGCACTGAGTTACGGCGGCTCGGAGCGCGAGCTGGCCCGGCTGGCCCGCGCGCTGC